TATAATATAAAGAAATGAATGAATAACAGATAGAACAATGATTTTAGGGCATGCTGGAAACGTCGGCCGGTTCGGTCGCCTTTTTATAATGCCTTTTTTTTCAAGTTTTCAAACTTTTAAAAGTTCTTTGGGCTTTATGAAGGCGTTTACGATTTCAGTGTACGTAATACTATATAATATGATCAGTTTCGATGTCAGTTTTCAAAAATTTTGGTCATTAAATTTACAAAAAATCACTTTTTTCTGAGCTCTCAAATCTTAATAAAACCCGAAATCTCCTTTTTTTGGGCCCCGAAAATTAAAAACTAACCACAATAGAGATCTCTACGCATTTTGGACACTCAAACAATTTAAAACAAAAAAACTTCAAAAATATCAAAAGTTTTAAAAAAGTGACCGACTTTTTTCCAGCATGCCTGATTTTAGCCATGATAAACATTCAAATTCGCATTTTGCGCTTCGAAGAAACCTTGAAAAGAAAAATTATGAGGCAGTGCTAGAAAACAAAGAGCAGAAATGAAAAGCTAATAAATTTCTCAATCGGAGAAATATAACTCACCGCATCGTTACAACAGCAAATGGAAGAATTTCCTCGCATGAAACAGCCCGACGATTTTTTGTTTTTGAGTTGTTCCTGGAATCGTTTTGATTAGTGAGAAAGGAGGTTAAAACCGGAATAAGCTATTATTTACTGAACACACCTATAAACTCTCGAAAGAGTATGCTCGACGGCAACATTTTTCTATTTTTCTTAAAATAGTTATACATTATTTACTAGTTGAAAGTTTTATAAAAAAATGTTTTTTTGCTCATCAGTGCATTGTCTGACTTACATGGGGTTTCACGGAACAGACTGAAATTACTACTCAAACACCCACGGGTAAAGAGCGGGCAATTACAGTTAGCCGCCTGGCATCGTTTTTTTTGTGTCTTATATTGATTTTGCTCTTCGTTTTGTAGTAACTTTTTAAACCTCCACTAAAAAAAATCTTCTCGAAATAGAAATGATTATTTTGGAGTTTAATTAGCTCATTTGAGTTAGGGTTGTCGAATATTTTATTGTTCCTTGTACCACTTTTTAGTTCTTCATTCAGTACAACTGAAAAAAGATGCTGTCGCTTTGAGGGTAGATAAGCTTTTTTACGTATATTTTTATGAAAAAAAAATTGTATAGATCCTGACACACGGTGACACACTTAGCCACTCAGAAAATCATGGAGGTTTCAAAAACCTGAGCTGCGCAGTAACCGTCGTCGTCGCAGTCAAAGGCACCGCTCGATTTATTGTGGAAACACCAGCCCCAGAGTTCATGTCCCTGGCACCAGCCCTAGAAAAAATATCAAATAATTTCTCCTCGTTAACTGTTTTTTCGGTTTGAAAGACTGGGACTTTTCTGCACCCTATTCGCCTTTCGGCATCAAAGGCCGTTGGTTCCCACCTTTTTTTTTAATTGAGTATTTCTCTCTCCTTTTTTTGAAAATTTTGCTTTTGTATTAATAATTGAAATTTGAACTTGGTTTTTTTAATAAATGTCGAAAGTCACGTTTTTCAAACTATAACCATGGATTTAAACATTTTATTCCACTACGCAGAGAAGGAAAAAGTGTGAGCAAAAAACAATACTCAAAAATTCAAATTATTTTTTTTTAATGTCCCCGAAGATTTTTTTAAGCTCAGTTTTCTTAGTTAGTTTCTCGAAGCTTCTTTTTCAGATAGTCAAAAAAACTTTTTGACTACTTTTTCTGTAATTACAAAAAAATCTTGAAATTGTACAAAACTTCGAAAAAAAAAATAGCAAACCGTTTTTTCATGAACGCAAAAGCGTGCAAAAGTCGATGCGGTGATAACCAGCAGCAGGAAAAACAAGCGTCATTTCTTTAAAAAAAGAATTAAACGTGTTTCGAAAAAATCCTAAAATAACTTTCTCGATAAAACCAATCAAGGTGAGAGCTAGAAAACTTGAATTTAAAGAAAAATTCAAAAAGGCTATTGAAAAAGTTGGAATAGAAAAAGGCTGAAATTCGTGCTCCGTGATTATTTCGAAATCATGATTTTTTTCTTTGAAAAAAATTCCGTTTAGAAAAAAACTTTTTTAATTAAAAAGAATCTTTCATAGAACACTCAAGTACGGTATTACAAGATTTTTTAAATTAAAAAAGGTCACTCGAACAGCTTGAAAAAGGCCACCAATATGAAAGGGGGAGAAGAAGCAATGAAACTAAGGAAAAAAAACTTACCACTCCATTTCTCATTACAAATGAATCGCGGCAGGCGAAGATGGTATGCATAAAGAATGAATGTCTTCGATGAATCCTAGAGAAGACGTGCAGGCGAATGACAATGGGTTCTGCCCTCTAGGAAGAGAGATGCACAGAAACGCAATTGGTTCTTGTAGAAGAAAACCTTTTTTTTTCCAATTCTCAGGGGTGAAAATGAAACATTTAATTCGGACCGACATCACACAGAAAGAGATCAACCACATATATAGAATATCTCAAAAGTTATGTAGAATAAACTCAAAAAAAAAAACAGGTTGTGAATAGTTTGACATAAACTTCAGAAAAAGCCGAAAGGTTAAAACTTTTGAAACACGAAAAACTCGTCTAAAGCATTAAAAAAAAGTTAGTACATAGTATTTGCAGTTCATCACGATCCCAAACAGGAGGATTGAAATTAATAATAGATTGAAAATTTATAACGCAGTCGAGATCCAGGCGGCAAGTTCGGCGGTGCGACGCAGGTCGCGCGACTTGGCTATCGCAGCCGCCGTTTTCGCCTCAGTCGCCAGCGATTGAGGGTCGATGACGTTGGAGAAGTCGCCCGAGCATTCACAATACAGCGACAAGTTGTCGCGTCGCACCTGAATAGAATGCGAAAATTTTATTTGACGGCTAGAAAAACAGATTAGTTTTGGGAATTTTTGAAATTTGGAAAACAACTATCAAATAAGCTCAAAGCTTAGGAGTTCCAGAGTGGTCCCTGTAGCAGTTAGGGGAAAAACAGCCCCTATAGGAGTTGGTAAAGTGGTATTTAGAGGGGATCGGAAGGTCGCCCCTCTAGGGCCCACTTTATGCAAAATGCAAAATTCACCGCTTTGCACTTCAAGCAGACGTGGTCCTGGAGTTGATACGCGGTCAGCAAGCAGCTTAGCCGCTCACAAATCATATTATCGACGGTATCAACCGAGAGGCGCTGGAAAACAACGTTCATTTTAGTAATGAGCCTGAATGGCTGGCGTAACCAGCCGACTTACATGTCCACAAGTGGCACAGTTCCAAATGGCGTCGTCTGACAAGTGGACATTCGAAGATTGAGAGCAGTTGTGACAGTATAAATTCGACAAGAAAATCGTCTTGAACTGCGACTTTTGGCTCTCATCAACTAAAAAAAAACTCTGTGATTTCGAAAAAAAATTTTTCTCCGAAAATAGGAAATTCTGCACATTTTCATATATACCAGTCGACAAGCCACGGTGTTCCGCGCAATGAAAAAAAAAATGCGAAATTTTGGGTCCCAGCGGCATCTCGGAAAAATATTATCCGTGGCGCATCATTGCGCCCTTCTCATGGTTTCTGATGCAAAAATTGAATTTCTTCACTTTTTTCATTGGTTTTTTGCTTTTTTCTATTTCTTGCATTTATGTGATCCGCCTCTGTATGGGTATCTCATGTGGAGCTTTAAATTGCGCACTTTTCTAAACCGGTTTCAGATCTTTAACTTTTTTCTCAAAAAGAGTCCAAGATTTTTTTCTAAAAAGTCCTAATTTTTTTCAAAATTTTTGAAATCTGTTTCGCGACATGAAAAAGAGTCACTCTCGGAAACTATAGTTTTTAATTCAATCAGTTAATTTTAATGCACAATGTGGATTCGAGTACAAGTTATTATCTAGTTCTTTTGACGTAGTTTGAAACCGGTTTCGTGTAAATTAGAGCCAAATTGAATTTGCTGATGCAGTTTGATGATTTTGTTATATGAATCATCTAAATTTATATATTTTTTTCTAGTTTTTTGATGGTTTTTCGGATTTAAACAAACATATCGCCATACGAGGTTTTTTCTAAATTTCTGCTTTCTATCCATTATTTGTTTTTCTGAAGCTAGGTTTTCAAGCTATATAAAATGTTTCTTTTTTTCATTTACTCCTCGAATTTTCCCTTATTTCAATATTTTTCGTATTTGAAATTGCCTATTCAATGGGAGCTGATTCATTTTCATAATATTTTTTCGTTTTTATTTTGTAATCAGTAATTTAGAGTTTTCCCCATTCGAAATCGTTCCTAAATGTTTTTTTAACGTAAGTGAGTGTTTTTTTCACATCATATTCTTCAAACTGACAACTTTCGAACATTTCAGGAGCTATTATCCTGAAATTGCAAATTCTAAAATTGAAAAAAAAAAACAATTTTGAGTATGCGATAGTGCGTCTCGGTGTGCTTACACCCTAAGCATCATAATTTACGAAAAGTCTTGACCTTGCAATGAAAGCAATGAAGGGCTTTACAAAAATACACGTTTCTTTCAAAGCCCTTTTTTACTGCCCATATGCCTTCAAACTTATGCTATTTTTATCGCATTTTCTTTTATTTTTTTAAGAATCGTCATTCATATAGAAATTTCTCCATTACTCTCAAAGTCAATTAGGTTTTTTTCAAGCATGAAACAGACTTTTAACGTTGTCCAATAAGCGTTGGGCGTTTTCTTTCAAACTATCGACAGCAACTTCACAAGCCGAATCAGCCGCCAAAGCTCGGCAGATCTGAAGAAAGACGTTGGTTAGAGCGCGAAAAATTTTTGAAAAAATGAACCGTGTTGACAAAAGCGGCCGCTGAAATGGCACAGGCGGCACTTTGATGAGTCAGTTTGGCAATGATTCGGAACACTCGGTGAGCAATTTCTTTTTCGATTATGATATTGCGGTAGGTTTCGGCGTCAAACTCATTAGGAGCCTGAACCGTAGGTTTAATAGATAAAAAATTCATAATTGAAACACTTAAAATATTCATTTTCATGAGGTGCGACTTTTTATGAGCGAAAGATGAACGAAAACAGTGGCGTAATAGGGTAATTAATTTTTTTTTTGGTTTTTTTTCTGTAGTTATTCACGGCTTTTTTGTTAGTGTAAGAAAATTTAAAACGGACTCTGTTTGATAAAACTTGAAATCTCGGAATTTTCGAAAATAAATTTACCACAGATCACAGTTATTAGAATGTTTCTTTGCCCTTTCTTAAACAAATTTCAGGTAAAAATAATCTGTTTTTTTTAACAAAGTTGAGTGAAAGAAATTTTTATTTCGCTCACAGACAGATCTGTGGCGTGAAGGAAGACAACCAAGAAATTTATAACTGCCTCCACTTCGATAAATTTCCACTTAATTCGAAATTATTTTAGGTCGAATCGAAGAGAATCAAACAGAAAAGTAATCAACAAACGAGTTAAATCATTTTGTGATATTTGCAGCTTCCGTATCAAAAACCAATTTTTCAAAAAACTTTTAAATCTTCTTTGGTCATCCTCAGAAACCATAACTCTGTTTAAGCCTTTCCAGTATTTATACACAAGTTGAACGAATACCGAAAAAAATCCTCATATTTTCGCTCATCTATTTAATTTCTATTTTTTTTTCAAACAAAAACCTACCATTTCTTTGCGTTTTTCCAAGAAAATCATCACAAATCCGGTGATAATCTTCTCAAACTCTTGCCGAACATCACCTTCCGGTGGCAATTCATCAGCTATTCTCCAGTGGCTCTAAGAAAAAGCGGATCACAGAAAGAAATGGAGAAAGAACCTGTGTGATTCTGCCTAGTGCATCAGGAAGTATGGCGGTCTCTAGTACTTCGTTTTCTTCAAGCTGTCCGATGCCTAGGAAAATAAAGGTGGAAAAGTAGCGAGCACTTCGAGAAAGAAAACTTTTGAAAAATATTTCAGTTTTCTGCGAACCATTTCATGGTCTTCGAGCTCTATTTGAATATTACTAATCTCTGAATTTTTACCTTTCTTTGAGCTTTTTTTTCCGTAGAAAATCCACGATTCTCAAAAACTTTATGGCTTATTAAGCTCATAATGCTCCTAAAATGACTCCCTACTCCTGGTTAGAGGCCAGCTTCTTGTAACCGCAATACCTGTATGATTATAAGCATCCATCCAAAGGAGAGCTTCGTAATATCGTCTGGGAGTGATCTGCAGAGCGGCAAAAAGGACGTTGGTGCTCAGGGAACCAATGAGCATCTGGGCGAACGCCTTGGCCTCGTTCTGGGTCGCCTTGCCCGTGTTCAGAACCAGCTTCTGGGACGTTGCGTGCACCACTTTCGCACCCATCCTCTCGCATTCGGCGCATAACAAAAGCACGAGCTTTTTTTCCAAAATTCCGACACTTCGGGTTAACGCTGGATCGTAAAGAAGCGCTCCAGACGTGTGAAGCCATCTTAAAAACATTTTTTTCAGAATGTCACTTTTTTTCCGAGAGAAATATTTTGAGCCGTTGGCACTAAGAATTCAGGTTGCTTTTTTTGCCCATACTTTTGCCACAACGACTTCACAAGTCTTTGAAACTTTTAGTTGAGGTTTTGACAGGCTCCGGCCCTCTTTAGGGTTACATTTACATTTTACATTTATTCAGTCGTCAGAGAAGATTCTTCGCTGAATCATCTGATTATAGAAGTTTTTTGTCGTTTTGCGAAACTGTCATTGATCAAAAACGGTGCGTAGAACATATTGCCTTTCTTGTGATAGTAGTAGACTATTTTTGAGGATTTGAAACCGCCAAGCTTGTCCAAGGCTGGCAGGCGTCGGATTCTAATTTTTGCCGAGAGCGGTAATGAAGATCGACCACTCGGGAGGTAGACATGAGATAGAATTTAGGGGTTACTAGAGCTATAAAACAAAAAAGACTTTCTGACTTTTTTTTCCGTGTTATAAAATTAATAAAACTTTTTTTTTAAACGAAAGCCAGCATTCTATTGAACAGTTCTTTATTTCGGATATTTTCCTCTCTCTTACCAGTTTATTGCTAACGTTCTTTTAAAGTTTCATTCCATTCGGAGTTGGATTTTTTTGTATTTTGGCTACAGAAATCCTTTAAAGGAGCGGAGCCTGTCAAAACCTCAACTAAAAGTTTCAAAGGCTTGTGTAGTTGTCGTGGCAAAAGTATGCCCCCAAAAAAAGCTTCATGAATTATAAGTGCCTCACTGTTTTGGCATATTATCGATTCTCTCGGAGAACGGAAAATCCCAAGAAGAAAAGGAGTTTTCAAGCGTCTCTTACACATTTTTCATCGGTTCTTCTATCAGTATTCCACGTCGATACTAATAAACATTTTGTTTTTCAAGTAATCTCACCTAAACAACCAAAAAAGTTGGGACCACATCTGTCTTGCTCTTCTCAAAAAAATTCCCGGTCGAATCAGAGAGACTTCAAGTGATCAACAAAACGCACAAATAACATCATATTTTGTCATTAGTCATGAAAAGGAATGCATTCCCACCTTCCAACACTCATCACAATATCATCAGCTCTCGGATTGTTATGATGAGCGATGTCGCGAACGCATTCTGTCAGCATTTGCTTCAGAATTTTCAATGATCCGTCGACCGCGGCGCCTTCGTCGTAAGACGATATGCTGTTCCTAATTCGATGTTTTTTGTGGGTGCGACTCAAACGAAAACACGGAACTGTACTCCGAAAATAGACTGAAAAGGAAGAAGGGCCGCCGTGTCAAAGGCTACGGCGTCTTCGGCTCCCTCAGCCTCCAGCACTCGACTTCGTTGTACCAGGGCGGTTACCTGATAGATGTCAATGAGAAAAGAGGTACCGAAAGATACGGTTTTCGAAGCAGAAGATAAGGCAGGACGAAATATAAAAAAAAACAAACTTTATGGACTTATCATGGGGAGTAATTTTATTATGATGGGAAAGAATTTTGGGTCCGCTATTTTTCGTAAGCGTGAATTGTGCATACACCAATCTTGTGGCTCGAGCCTTGGAAAACGAAAATTGAAAATATTCACCTCTTTTTTGATTCATAGTTCTTTTTTTCTTTTTGTTGTTTTATTGTAAGGATGGCGTGTTGCGACCGGAAAAAAACTGTTCGATTTTCATTCAAAATTAATTTTTCATCAAATAATACGTCTTTCTCGCATACGCGTGGTCAAAAATTCGCTGCAGCACGTCTATCACACTTTCATTCCTTCTGTAGGCATTCAAAAAAAAAAATGGTAAAAATCAAAAAAGAGGTGAATATTCCCAATAATCGTTTTCCAAGTTTCAAATTTTTTTTTTAGATTCGAGACCCCAAGATTAGTGTATGCACAGTTCACGCTCACGGTGATTCGCGGACACAAATTCCTTCCTACCCTCTACTTTAGCATAGCTTTCAAAATTTTAAAATCTGGTCAAAAATCTTCTGGGAATCAAAAAGCATAGCCACTATCCGCGCAAACTTTTAGTCTTAAAATATCATTTTTAAAGTTTTTATCATTTAAATGGCAGCCGGAAATCTCAAATCAAAGGAAAACCTTAACTTTGAGGTCATTTGTTAATTTCAAACATTACAATTTTGGCTCTAGGTGTCCGAAATTCATGTTTCACGCACCACAAAATTTTTTCTTGATAATTCTGAAGAAAAAATACTCTCAAAAAAACCTTAAGAAAATTCTCAAATTAAGAAGAACCCAGTCGCCATCGCGGAGGAGCCACGAAACAAAAGGATTCGGAAAATAATCTAATATGAGCAATACTGAGAAAGTATGAGTAATTAGATTTTTAAAAATTGCATAAAATTCTTTTGCACCTTGTGACAAACTTCGATCAAGATTCGTTGATTTTTTGTCGGGATATAGATTTTCGAAGCTTTTCACCGTAATCGTTTGAGCTACCGTATCTCGAAAACTAGCCGAATGAGGATATTCGGTTTTGTGTTTGAAAAATTCTGAAAATTGTGTTTTACAACATATTCAATTAAGAGAAAAAGTTAACGAAACGCCCTTTTTTTTTTCCAACCCAGCCTAAACCCAAATGGCGCAGAACAAGTCTGCGCCTAAACCTTAACTTCAAGGTCTTTTGTTAAACTGAAAAGTAATATCCTCGGACAAATTTCTCTCAAATGTGTGAACACGAAATATAAAGGATAAAAACTTTAAAAAAAAAATTATATTTCCTTACAGAGTTTGCGCAGACGGCGCCTGTGTGGGTTCAATTCAGGGTGAATTAAAAAAATTGTAAAAAATCTGAACCCTACGCTAAAATATCTCATTGTAAGTGATAAGTCTGAATTTATGCAAATAGGAATTCGTCTAAACTCACGGCGACGGCACTCAATTGGACCTCGACACAAGCCGTTGCACAGAAAACCTCCCGATTCAAAAGAACCGTGTCGTCGACCGAAAGAGGCGTCCATTCAACTGCCAGCCGCATGTCGTCTAGCTCCTCAAATCGACAAAAAATTCAACCATGAAAAAGATTATCAGAGAAGGAAGGCTGAGACTAGAAATAAAAGCTCCCAAAAACCTGAAGCTCAAGCGCATTTGAAAAAAATCATTCAGACTAAACCATCGTGGCTTTGAAAAAAAATCGACTTTTTTTAAGGCCGCATCATTTTGTAATATAGGGTCTCGAAGTCAGAACAAAAAATAATCAGAAATATTTGAAAAAAATTTGGTGAAGATCTGGAAAATTCAAAGTAAACTTTTGAATTATCCGTGGAGCGCACTTTCACCGGGCCCAAATAAGGTGTTAAAGTCAGGCCGATGTGTCATAGGAATTTTAGAGTGGTCCTTATAGAAGTGAAAAATAATCACTTTAGGGGTGAAAGCAAGGTGGTCCCTAAAGGGGTTTAGGGTCCGACCCTGAAGCTTAAGCGATCTCTATAGGGGCCGCTAATTAAAACCCCTATAGGGACCTCTTTTGCAAGCTTCAGTAGGCTCTATAAGGGTAGCTAAAGTGGTTCCTAGAGGGGACCCTCCAAGTGCCACTAAGGTTCCCCCTATAGAGACCACTATGAAGTTCCTAAGTCATAACCCCTAACCTTCAACCAAAACGGAATAAGCTTCAAAAGTCTAACTTTTCCGCCCAAGTCAGGCCGACTGGTCGGCGAAGCCCACAATGCGTGGCCGTTCCTCTTCAGATGCCTGGCGAAAAACAAATCCAGGGCAAAGACGTTCAGGTCGCTTGGGACGTTGCCAATTGGGATTCGCAGATACCGCGCCCACTCGAGGAAATCCTTGAAAATTCTCAATTTTTCGAATTTTTTTTTTTTTCGAACCGTCAAGAAGATGTACGAATTGAAAAAGTGCTGAATGACACGTTTCGCGACAACTCGTTGCCAGTCGATAACGTTGAGCAGCGACGACGGCTCTCTGATGTGAAGTCGAACGTGTGGGAACAGCGAAACGTTCGGCACTTCCCGCATCTTTTTGGATTAATAATAAATTGATCAAGAGAAGATTTTTTTTTAATCTAAAATTTTCTGAATTATTCAATATTGGAGAGAAAAAAAATTTGAGTTTCCGCCAAAAGGCGATTTGCTGCTCTATGGACAAAACGCATCGGCATTTTTCGGTTTTTTTTTTCTTTCAAAATTAGTCATATCTTTGCCTTTTTGAGTAGACCCAAAATCTTTACAAGGTACTGCTTTCCCCTCAAACCTTGATTATAACTGTCCATATGCCCTCAACAGTGCGCCAGCTGCTATGTCAATTACAACCACCAATTCATACATTTGCTTCTACAAAAGTGAGAAACACCCTTCTTTGTCAGCTCCTAGACATTTAGAATGTGTTATTCAATTCCAAATCTCACCAATTGCCTGGGTTCAGCATCCGTCAAAAGAATCAAAAGAGTAGTTTTGGACGAGGCTTCCCGCGCCGTTCTCAAGACCTTAAAAAGAGCAAGATTATTGAAAAAGCCTGAAATTCTTCAGAAACCCGTCCCAGTTCTCTATTGCACTCGGTCGCCGAATTGAACTGCTTTGTGTTGAATTTGATGTTGTCTTCCGCCGTACAGGACTCCATTTTCTCCATTTCTTTCCTAAAGACAAATTTTAACAAGGGAACGTTTTTCATAACTCGGTTGAAGTGTACTTTATGACCTCCTGATTTCAGAACAAAAAAATTTCTCGCAAAACATCTAGCTATTGTTACGACGTTTCAAAGGCTTGAAATAGCGCTTTTTTGTCATAATTTGTGTATATTGCTCCATAACTCGAAAACGAGATCTATTGCAAGAAACTCTTGTTCAGGAGGTCCTAAAGTACACTTCAGCAAAATTTCCTAAAAAGTTCAGCGGGAAAGGGGGAGAGTGGGGGTAAAAATTTTAAAATATTTTTTTTCTTTTTTTTTACGTAAATGTGGTGACAAATATCTCGAAACAGAAATTCAGCAGTGTTGGAAAATTATGAAAACCTTACTTATTGAATCTTTTTTGTAAAAACTCCGCGCTTTTTCGCCAACTTCTTCGGATACCATATATCAATTTTTCCTTAAATGATTTTAATAGAGCTTCTTTCTCATCGTCAATACATTCTTCAAAGCTAAATTTACACACGCTGCGAAATTTTTCAACATTTCAGAATAACTAAAAATGACTATAGCGGATTCACAGCTAGCTTGGGATGGTAAGCGGCGTGACACTGTCTGTTCTTTTCATAATCTAGGCACTATTTCTTCTTCTTTGCCGTACCGGTCCATTTATTCAATGGGTCAAGCCAGCAATCGACTAAAAAGTTTTTAAAAGTTTCTAGAAAAGAGGACGCCAAAAAGAAAGAAACATTTTGTTTTATTACTGACATCTTCTTGTAGGCCTGGGTATACATGATGTCCATGTTGGGCATTTGAAGTTGCCCTCGATTGACAACGAAAAATGAGGCTGTTCTCGTATTTGGGTCCACCAATGACCAAACATGCCGAGAGTCCTGAGCATCAAAAAAACATTATTGACAACTCTTTATTTCTTATTAGCTTTTTTTAAATTTGAATAATTTTTCCGATCGCTTTTTAAAATCCTTTCGCGAAATTTTGTCAAACTTCATCTTTATGGACAAAAACGACAATATAAAATATTTGTGAGGGAAATCATAGTTGAAAAATTTTTCTATCAATCAATTCACAAAAAAAACCTTACGACGATTATAATTTTCAATAGATTCTACATTTGAAACGAACCTGCGAAAACTTGTACAGAAAAACGATTCTCGGTGTTTCGCTGAGGTAACTGACGCGTTCCACAGACAAGGATATCGGTTTAAAGCTCTGTTTGAAACAAATGGAATGAATTGTTCTTTTCTTTTTTCATTCAAACATCGATTCCATAAGTCGAATTTGTGGGCGGGGCGATCGGCAGAACCACACAGCCGAGGTTGACGAGACATCGGAACAGAGCGGGAACATTCGACTCATAAATTCCGACAATCGATGCACAGCATCGTTCCGCATACAGTTTGTCCATCAGCGAGTTCATTTGGTTCTCAAAAACTTATCCTTATTTTTCGACGTCTTTCATACAACTTTATTTTTAAAATACGTCATTTTTGATAGTTGAAAAAATGCGAGTCCAAAAATAAGGTGGGCGGAATCAAAACCTCGTTCTCACATGACGTCATCGGGACGGACGGCAGAGATTTCGGCTCTAAGAGCGTAAATAACAGGGAATATTAAAGGCGCAAGCGGCCAAATTGCCAGAGGTCTTTGAGAAAAAGCTAATTCTCACCAAATAAACGCAATTTTTGTTGCGCGAGAGCGGTGCAGTGCATGCACACGACACACCACACTTTACGGAGAAAAAAAAGGGGGCGAGGTCGTCGAAAAAAACGCCGTGCGAAACAGGGTTGCACGAGACTCGATCTCGTCTCGAGATGAAATTCGTACTTCTCGATCTCGTTTCGATTTTTCGGACGAGCTTTTCTCGAAAATTTTCGAGAATTTTCCGAGAAATTCCGAGATAGAAACGATGCATACTAGGCCAAAGTTTGGCGTAAAATTTGATGCACCTGGAGCAAACTAAAAAAAAAATTTTCTCTTTCGAAGTGACGGATCGAATAAGAAATTTGACGGATCTAATGAGAAAAATGTTTTAAAATACTCGAAAAAACATTTTTTTCAAAAGAAAATCTAAACTTTAACGCCTTGGTCTCAAAAAATCCCTTCTCATGCAACCCTGGCGCGAAAAAGTCATTTATTGCTCATGATTTCAGTTCTTTAGTTTTCATAGAAGCTCCATTGACGCTCTAATAAAATTTCTAAACGCACGAACCTCATCTGCTCGATATTCGTACAAAAAATGTGAGAGTTTGTGATGAGGCAGGATTCTTCGAACAACTTCTCTTCCTTCTCGTTGTTCCTTGAAAGTAATTATCTTGAACATTTAAACTTCTCTCTTTTTTTTTAAATGAAGCCTGAAGCCCGGGCAGGTGCACAAGCCTATTCTAGAAGAAAAGTTTTTAAAAGAGTAACCTTGCAATCGACAAGTATGCTCCGCTGTATTTTCAAAGGGAACTTGTTCATTTGGCCATTCACCGAGACCCACAAGTTGAAGAAAGACGTTTCTCGAGTTGGCTCAATGCTGAGAATCTGAGAAACGAGAACTTGAAATAACCCAGCACACAGCTAGATCCAAAACCTGCCAAGTCCTTTCATTTTCAGCTTCTCTTGCACTGTTCATCACTTCATCAACAATGTTAGCACCTACAAAGTGTGTCGTTTTTCATGTTATTTCGAAAAAAATACTTATGATATTGAAGGGAAGGTTAGAAAACTATAAAGCCTCAGGCTGAACAATTCTTTCAGAAAGCAAAAAAGGGGTCAAACGCAACTATGCAAAAAAAAGAGAAAAAAAAATGGTTATCATTATTATGACGTGTTCAATTTAATTCCGCGAAATGCGAAATACCCGTTAGAGAAAGGAAAAGATCACTAAGTTTTGGAGAGTCAGAGATCATTTTGCGTTCCGCGGAATCAAATTGAACACTGCATCATTTTTCACTTTTTATTCGTTCGACTAAAATTTTTCAAAAAAAAAAAAAGTAAAAAAATTATTACTATCAAAAAAATTGAGAAATTTATTTTTTTAGAAAAAAAGGTGGCTTGATTTTTTTCTTGACTGCATGAAATCAAATCAATAAAAAAACATCAACTGAAAAAGTGTTTGCTATCGACTCTCAAAAATTTGATATTCATAAAAAAATCTGCAATTTCCGGGACTCGTAAAATCTGTAACCCGCAGTGAACCCGCAAAAAGTGAACTTTACGTTAATGTTTTCGGTGCACCCCGCGTTCGACCTGGATGGCGTGCACTCCTGGGGCAACCGGTAAAAAAAAGTCTTCTTTGAGCTACCGTAACAACTTAGGATGAAATTGTAGAAAATAGTAGAATCAAAAAAAACCATTCCGTGATCGTATACGAAATAAGTTCTTCAATATGCATTTAAAGCTGAGTTTTGTTAGAGATTTCTCAAGTCCATCAAATCGGCTGGTTCAATTTCACACACCTCGATTTATCAACTCTTCTTTTCTTTTTTTCTTCTGAATCGTCCATTTTTTCTTCAAAAAGCCGAGCCATTCATCGAACCCATGTGCCGCCAGTGTCTTCCTTTCCAAAGTCTCCGGTTCAATAGTATTTTTCTTTTTTTTCGCGTCTTCCTCGATCCGATGCCTCTTTGGCAGGTTCTCGATATCGTTCTCTTTGTTGCTTTCGTCGACCTCGACGATGACGTCGTCGCTGTCGTGATCGTCGGTTCGAAGACGTTTGCCGCTTTCAGCAAACTCGGCCGTCGACGTTTTGGCGCATCTGGCGAAAAGGTCGGAAATCCTCGGCTGTCGGATTGCGTCAAATCTGAAACCGAACTGTAGCTCCAAAAACAAAAAAAAACACAGTGATACATTTCTAAAAACAACTAGAGATAACTTTTTCCACATGAAAACGTTCTCAAGTCCCAGTTCATGATCAAGCAGGCGAATAATCAAAAATTTCCATATATAGCTGATTAACGGCTGGCTTGAGCTATCAAAAAAAGGGTCCTAATTCACGAGATAGCGCCCGGCTCGTGGAGAGCGCAGACAGGACACGTCCCCTTAGCGTCCCAAGCTGCCCGTGAATCAGCTATACAATCATAAGCGTTTTATTTTTGAGGCAAGAAATTTTTTTGGAATCAAAATGAGAACCATCCTGACTAGGGAACATTTTTTACCCCCCGGTTGAACTTTTGCTGAAACTTTGCTGAAGTGTACTTCAGGACCCCATGATTCCAGAACAAGAAAGAACAGAAAGAAAATTTCTCGCAATAGATCTCGTTTTCGAGTTAGGGCACTTCAAAAGCCCGAAATAGCGCTTTTTTGGTCTAATTTGCGTATTTTGCACACTTTGAAGCTCCATAACTCGGAAACAAGATCTATTGCGAGAAATTTTTTTCTTGATCTGCAATCAGCGGGTCCTAGAGTACACTTCAGCAAAGTTTCAGCAAAAGTTCAACCGGGGGGTAAAAAACGTTCCCTGGTGAGAGAAGTTTTCTCTCAAATTTTATGGGCGGTTCGGGCTTTATTTTCTGTTCTATTTTTGGCTCTTTTTTTCAGATGCCATGCGACTTATGAAACAAAAGTTGGGATCCCCACTGCTGTAGGAAAAAAAAAGCCCCCACAGGCCCGTCCAAACAAGCCCCCAGCCAGTAGATGAAATAATTTGCAAATGGGTCTCGAAACGATTGAAAGAGCGCGTTTTTGATTCAGATTGCTGAAAATTTTTCCCAAAAGTGTTGTCAACGAATCAAACGAAATGTGAACATAACACCATCTTTTCACTAATAATCTCCTAGAACAGACTTATTGCGAAGTTTATTCGCAAGCCAGTCAGGATGTGCCACTCTGGGGACAGGATTCGTGACGCCCTGAAGAGCTGCCGGGATCGTGATAATCTTCTGGATGCAGCTGCCCAAGCGCTCCAAGTAATAGTCCCAATCCAGAAGCTGAAAAAAAAAATCTAAGTACATGATGGACATTTTCCCCAACATCTCTGATATCCGTATCTTCAGTCAAACTCGTCAATTTTGTCCACTTCCTCAGATAAAAAGCTTGGACTTTTGGTTCTGACTGCAAAAATGACATTTTTAAATGAACGTAAATTCGGAAAGACCTTGAAAATCGCCACCGGAATTGCTCGCTCTGTAACCGGGGAACCCATCGGATACTTTGAAATGACGAACATACAGGCTAAGCCAGCGTCCTGTCAAAAAAGAATCTGTGATGCCGTGTTCAAAGTAATTTCCGCGAAATGCAAAATGATCTCTGACTCTCCAAAATTTAGTGATCTTTTCCTTTCTCTAACGGGTATTTTGCATTTCGCGGAATCAAATTGAACACGGCATGAATATCAAAAATTCATTTTTGGCAAATGATAATATCAGTTGAATGGGGCGTGCCATAGCGCAACAGGTTGTGTGCCTGTCTACGGTTCACACGGTCACAAGTTCGATCCCCGCCTCGACCCAACCAAGGTGTTCAAGAAATTTTGGTAGTGAGAAACCACGACTTCAAAAATATCCAGCCGTCACACCCAAGGACGGATATGTCACTCGAGCCAGTTCACTGAATATCAGGATAGGACCCCGGCTAATCGATTTTGGGTGCCGACGCCGCTCAAGCGGTACAAAGGCTTAGGAAGAAGAAGATGAAGAAATTTGTATTTAAAAACCGTTAATACCTTGATTAAGTCGAAAAAACTTTAATAAAAAAATACATTTTTTTGAAGACTGGTTCGACTCATATTTTTTTTATTTAATCAAAAAAAAATCATTACCTCTGAAAATTAGAGAGAAAATGTAGGTTCGCTAAAGATTATGAACTAAAAAATAATAAGGTGATAATCAGGCTTGTGCGAGAGCGCCAGCCCGTCAGCCTCCCCCCTATATTGATATCGTCCGCGGATTTTTTTCATGCTCCCGGATAGAATTCACACTTTCCATCATTTTTTTTTTTTAATATTGAACTTCAATTTTAAAGGCTTAGGCTTGGAGTTGGAAAAAACTTGAAAAACAATGCCAAGACTTGGAATTTCACCGAACGACATTCCGCTGTTCCAGTGCGTCGCGAAGCGTCTTTGCGAGCCTCGGTCTCGCTTTGAATTGGTCCTCATTTCTGATAAATGGACTGTTCCACGAGAAACACGTGTTGGTCGAGTTCTTGAATAAAATGAAAGATAAAAAGGCGCGAAAAGGCACGCAACGGAACAGCGGAGTGTCGCTCGGTGAAATTCCAAGTCGTGGTGCCCAGACTACAACAAGTTTTTTTTAACGAGAAAAGTGTTGTTTTTGCTTTTTTTTTCACATGGAGTTGATATACAACAAATAAAAATAACTTTTCGATGAAATTTTTTCGATGCCTGGCACGAGCCAGTTTTTTCTTAAAGATAAGGCCCGAAGCCGGAACCAGGCAGACGTACAAGCCTGCTGAAAATGACTAAAACTTTCAGAGAAGGGAAAGCATTCTGGAGCGCGCTTTCCCTTTTCTCCGCAGCTCTAAAAGGAGGGCTAAGTAATCGTGAGGAGCGACCATACCTTGACCATTTCGGCGCCCAGGAACTCGGCAAGCCGCTTGGCCGTGCTGATGCTGGTGCTTTTCTGTGCACCGTAATCCTCCAACTTTCGCGACATACTCCGGTTCTCGGAAATCAGGTCGAAAAGCTCTTCGTCCGACAGTTCCTCGCCCTTCGAGTACAAAATGTCCAGCCAGTAGTTTGCGTCGCCCGAGACGCATTTGTAGACCTGAAAACACTTCAGGGGCGTCTTCGCAACTTAAAGAGTACCTCTTCGAGTGATTTCCCGCCCAGGAACGTTTGGAAGACCGAACTTTGGAAGTGTTTGATAATGTTGAGCTCGCCGCGACGTTTCAGCTCGAAACCTTTCAATTCGGCCAACGAACCGTCGAGGTTGAACACTGCATATCTGAAAAAAAGTGTTCACAAAAAGAGAATGATAATCATTTCTAGAAATCGGATAATGATTTTTTCGCATAGTACTTACTACCCTCTGTACAGTACTCAAATTGCGCCTGAAAGGTTCATATTACTTCACTACGACTAATAATTAAAAAGTTTTACAGCAACAGATTGTGGGCTGCTATAGTCTGTTCACATTTTGAATGTCAAGTCCTCACTCAAGCTCCGCCCCTAAAACGGACTAAAACGGGGGAACAACGGGTGTAAGAAAAATATGTAACCCAGTAGTGCTAAAGCGAAGTCTCAGCTGAGGTAAAAGTTGCTAAAAGTTCTACCAGCTGTGCTTACATTGGTTTGGTACGGGGGCACCCGCGGAGAACCCGTGTTACTAAAACTGTAATGACGGTTACGCACCAATGGCAAGATCAGAAGGTCGAGAGAAAAAGAAATAGCATTTCTTTTCAGAATTTTTTCATCGGCGGACCTTTTTTTCAATTTTTTGCCTTCTTCTTTGGATGCCGGCAGGACCATACACTGATAAGGTCCATCAACTTCAAAGTAGATGGAGTTTTCGCTTGAGGTACTGTAGGAGCCATCCTTCTGTAGGGTATGGTATTGATGGTTGGTGAAGCCCTCGTAGACCAGCGCGTTCAACATTGCTCCCGGGTATGACACCGTAACCTTAAAGACAGTGAATGCTACCGTAACTTGGCACAGTGTTTCAAAACAAGAGAGCGCAGGCGTTGAAAATGGGCGTCAAAAAGTGGCTAAAACGCTATTTCCTTCTAACGCAACGCGACGTGTGTCAACCCCTCAAAATTCCATTCAATTTAAATACAGATTTTTCTTAATTTCTTGCGTATTTTCACAGATTTTCGCTTTCAGTTGTGTAGCATAACCGTGACTGATACGTTTGAGATGTAATTGAGTTAATTTTTAATCGAGATGGTCGCGTAAATTCGAGGAAAGTGACATTTCTAAGGATAACTTTTTCCGCACAAGCTACTTTGGTTTATGTTTTCGTTTCAAAATACTCAGTGAGTTTCTCGAGAAAAAAGTCGGATTTTTTTTTCAAAATTTTTTCGAGGTTTTATAAAACGTTCTTTTGAATAAGTTCAAACACATCCAAGCTATTCGAAATTTTGAAGGTGCCTTGAAAACATTATTATTTTTCCATCCAATAAATGCACAAAAATTTGCTCTTATTATCGCGCCTCTATTGCAATAAGCCCCGCCCTATGACCACATCCGCCGCCTGTTTAGGTTCTATGGTACCGATTTTCTCTTGTGGTTCTGCAACTGAAAAGTGATGTTTTCGGGAAACGACGACGGGATCAGGCACCAAATTCCATCAGTGTCCAATTCCAATGGTTTTCCAATCTGTTCGACCAGTTTTCGAGCTTCACGAATGATATTCGCGCCGGTATGACACACGATTCCGGCCATTTCCATTGAGAACCTAAACCAAAATTGTCCATTCTGCAATTGAACAAAAAAAAATCACCATCTACTCCCTTTGCGCATAACGTAACCATAAAAAGAGTTCAGAATACACTTGTGCGCTAGTTGCAGCGACTCGTAGAGTACCATTTCTACTGAAATCAAATTAATTTAAGAGAAGCAATTATTTATTTTTATTTATCTTCAAAAAAATTCCTACTTGGAACAAACTCACTTCCAAGTTTCAATTCAGCCACCACTCCAAGTCTTTAAAAAAATTTACTGGTCAATCTACCATTGCACGAGATCTTCTTGTTTATTCCTCCACGACTCAAATGATGTATAACTGTATAATATATTATCTCAAACTCTAAATCCAAGTGAACTCGTTAGGGTTCACGCTGATCTTTCAATAAATTATTATTATTAAATAATCCGCAATCAACTAACACCGGTTGATCAGTGTACCGAAAAAAGCTCGGATTGGAGTTTTTCTGGCATTTCGAAGCAACTGTAATACTTTCTACGAAAAGTTTATGAACCATTCCGCGGCAGGTTCTACCGATTTTCGTTTCCTTCCGAGCTAGAGAATTATTTTTTTGAAGGGCGCGGGATGTTTTCTGCCTTCGTTTTTTTTCTTATATAAAATTTCCGTTTTATTAAAGGCTCAGGCCTTGATAAATATCGCGTTCATCGAAGGGAAGGATACTGTAGCCATACGTCGGCTGGATTTCACCCCAGAGTGGACGAACTGCGGCCTAACCTCCGCAAAGTGCGGCCTGTCCAAAAAATATATAGCTATTTCACGGCCAGCTTGGAACGCTAAGGGGACGTGTCCTGTCTGCGCTCTCCACGAGCCAGGCGTTGTTTTGTGCATTATCGTGTAAGGACCATTTTTTCAATGACTCAAGCCAACCGTGAATCAGCTATATCGCTTGCGGATTTTTCATGCCTCTGGATAGAATTAATTCGTTTAATCTTTTTTAAATATTAAACTTCATTTTCAAAATTTTTCAATAGTCTTATTTTTTTAAACTTTTTTGAACTGAAAAAAATTGTTGAGCACAACCCATTTTTTCTGCAAAAAAGTAGAGCTGATCTACTAACGCTTGGCGGTGGTCATAGTGGTGAGGTCGTTGGCGGCGATGGCTTGATCCAGGGACGCTTTCGACTTTTTCAAAAGTTCCTTGTACTCGTAGCGCCGGTCGCGGAACGCTTTCACCGTCTCCACATAGAAATGGTTCTCCCTCTGGCAGATGGTCGTATTCCGCATTTCCAGCCTTGTCATGTGCGTCTTTCCGTACACTCGCCGCGAATAATCTCAAAAATCGTTCGTCAGTTCGAATTATTGTCTTTTACTAAACAAACCTTTGACTCTTTTGATCTCGATGGCGTGCCGCTCTTGTCGATCAAGCATATGAAACGGTTTCGGGGGTTTTCCGAACGACTCTCCTTCCAACTGCTGGATGATTTGTTGATATTCGCCTCGAGAAGCGGGTACTAAAAGCAGATTCCTCAGAGAAACCTAACAGGGAGCTCATTTCACTTTGCGGTTGGGAATCCCCTGAAAATTGGCAAGAATACTCCTTGGTGTACCAGAAGAAGATTCCGGAAGTCTAAACGTGCACAACTTTGTATTTCAGAAGAAATAAGGGCTCAATGGCAAAGAAAACGCTCAAAATCCTTTAAAATAGGTCATTTCGAAAATTTCAGCCATTTTTTAAGCTAGAGAGTTGTGCATGTTAAGACTTCCCGGATCTTTCAAAATCACAGTCACAAAAAACTATTGAATTCTTCTCGAAAAGTAAAAAAAATCTGGCCAATTTTCAGTAAATTCATAACCAAAAAGTAAAATGATCTTCCTTTTAAGGGGAACTTGGGATAATTTCAGAAGCTAACCAGGGAATGGTCTCAGCTCACAGTGGGACTTCTGAAAGAGACCATATTTTCTAGATGTAGTTTTTTACGCTGATTCCAAATCCGTTTTCAAAAGCTGCCACCGAGGTCTGTGAAAAAAGTTATGGACCCTCAAAAGTCGAAAATTTCATAGTCTCCGATCGAGCTCGTTTTTAGAGGGTATATAGGTCTTGTCCCCCTGGCCACAAAAAACTATTGAATTCTTCTCGAAAAAATTCCGAAGCCAAGATATGACCTTTCAAAGCCCCGCCGCACACAAGAGATTGCGCGCGCGGTGTCCTATTGCGATCTGATGGCTGTCGAAGCAACGGCAGCGAGGAGCAGTGGAAAGGCGGCGGACTGGGGATCACGAGGTCATAGGTTCGGTGCCCACGCTGTGCAAACTTTTTTTGCAGTTTTTTCTTTTTTGGATATTTCCGTGTAAGTGCTCCTTCTTGAGTTTCGAAACGTAGAAACATGAAAACACTGCGTTTTGAGCCTATTCAAACAGCTGGACTTCTTTTTGTCGCAAATTTTTTTCATGGATTTTTTCGTGATTTTCCATGTGTATGAGCATAGGTTAGAGTATCGAAATTTTCAGAAAAATTTTCATGGCTTTTTTTTTGAATCTTTTTCTTTTTTTCCAAATATAGTCTAACCACAAGTCATCATGGCTACGCTTGTCGATCACAAAAAAATTTTTTACTTCAATAAACTCTTCGTGCTTTGCAGTGGGCTCACCTATGACCGTCGTTTTTTTGCCGTCTGACTATGAACTTTCAGGAATTACATTGAACGAAACATTTTTTTGGGGAGTTTGTTCTAAATTTTTTTATTTATGAATCAAAAGAAACCTCCTCGGGAATTTCAGCCACAACCAGAAATAAAATTGAAAGTTTTTCCAGAGCCAAAAAAATTCCGAAAAAATGTCTGCGTTTTTTTCTACCATCGCAGTTATGAAAACAGCGTTCAGAAAACAAAAATTTTTTTCTGAAAAATTTTGACACTCCAACACATGGAAAATCACGAAAAAAACCATGAAAAAAATTTGCGACAAAAAGAAGTCCAGCTGTTTGAATAGGCTCAAAACGCAGTGTTTTCATGTTTCTACGTTTCGAAACTCAAAAAAGGAGCACTTACACGGAAATATCCAAAAAAGAAAAAACTGCAAAAAAAGTTTGCACAGCGTGGGCACCGAACCTATGACCTCGTGATCCCCAGTCCGCCGCCTTTCCACTGCTCCTCGCTGCCGTTGCTTCGACAGCCGTCAGATCGCAATAGGACACCGCGCGCGCATTCTCTTGTGTGCGGCGGCGCTTTGAAAGGTCATATCTTGGCTTCGGAATTTTTTCGAGAAGAATTCGATAGTTTTTTTGTGGCCAGGGGGACAAGACCTATATACCCTCTAAAAATGAGCTCGATCGGAGACTATGAAATTTTCGACTTTTGAGGGTCCATAACTTTTTTCACAGACCTCGGTGGCAGCTTTTGAAAACGGATTTGGAATCTGTTGGAGCATAACGCTTATATTAAGCTGATTCTAGAATGTTCTATAGTTTTCCATACATTTCTAGTCTCATTACGTCATAGGGATCATGTGTAAAGGTTTCCCTTCTAGAAAGTTCCACAATCTTCTCATTTGTTCTCTACCTTTCTAGAAGGTTCCACATTGTTCTCGAATGTTCTAATGCTTCCGGGACAGATCTCTAAAACTCTGGAATGTTCCATCTTTTACTCTAATATCAATACTATTTAAACTCCACCTTTATTCTGGAACATTCCATAATCTTCGGGATCTCTTCCCTCAGTACTATATAACCCTTGTTTGTTATTGTAAAGGGGCTAGCATAGTCTAGTTTCGTGTTACTAATAAATCTTCTACTACAACGTCTTCACTGGCCACCTGCGGGCACAACAGAATCAGCGTAAAACACTACATCTAGAAAATATGGTCTCTTTCAGAAGTCCCACTGTGAGCTGAGACCATTACCTGGTAAGAACAAATTTCGCACAACTTGGGATCACGCAAAATTTTTATATTATTTCTCACCTTTCATCTACTAAATTAACAACGTTCCATCGTTTCTCAAGTCGGGAGATGTTATTCCTCATAGAAAACTTTTTCGAAAAATTTTTTTCCTATCACTTATTGACTTGGAAAGAAGAAAAAAACGGTTTTTTTTTTGTTGGTTTTAATAACCTAAAAAAACCACGAGAAAAAAATATAATGAGTTTTCTAATAATTTTGACAGCCAAAGATAAGGTGGGCATAATTCATTATTTTCTTTCGTACTCAGCTCTCCACGCCACTCCCAAGCCATCGTTCGTTTACACTGAGCATCAGGTCGGTTATACGAACAACCCATGCAAATTTCTTCATTCACCATGGCGCAAGGCTGAAAATAAAATGCGAAGATTACCTTTCAATTTTTCATGAGTCCATCAGGAAGTTATTTAGGATGCCGGTTAGAAGGAAGCCGTACTGTCAGCCACCTTTCCGCACCCCTTTGAAAATTTTCCATTTGCGAAGAGTACTTTATGCGAAAATGTGTTTTGTGTTTACACTCCCGTTCTTAGGAACTCCAGAGTGGTCCTTATAGAGGCAACCTTGGAGGATCCCCCACTAGGGAACGCTTTACCAATCACTAATGAAAAGTGGCCTCTAGGGCAAAAATAAAAGGTACCCCCCATGATACTACTTCAAGAAATCGCTGTATAAAAATTCGACTCTGTTCAAAGAAATTTCGGTGATGTTAAAAATCGTGACGTCACCGCATCGTACATCTCCGCGTTTCTGTTTCCGAGTTTTTTGTTTCAACTATTTTTCTCGGTTTTGTTTTTGCAAACATCATTGAAAAAAAAAACCAAATCTTCTTTCTTCATGAGAAGGCTATTTTTTTAGTTTTTAAAAAAAACTCGGAAACTAAAAAAGCGGTGACGTCACGCAACGAGAGTGTAAACACACCAAGTGCATGCACGAAATGCGAATTTTCGCATAAAGTATTCTTCGCAAATGGAAAACTTGCTTATGCCGTCACTAAGAATAACTGCCGAGATAAACGCGAGACACTGGCGGTACATTGACGAGCTCGCAAACATCTCGCTTTTTTTTCTCGCGCCGGTCTCGCATTTTTCTGGGCGCCAGCTCGCACTTTTCTAGGCGCGAGCTCGCATTTCTCTCGCAATTTGAAAATTTCCGAAATGCAAGATAAATGCGAGGTCGCGCCGAGAAAAATGCAAGATCGCGCCTAGAAAAAAGCGACATTTTTGCGAGTTCGTCAATGTACCGCCACCGACCTCGCGTTTATCTCGTCAGTTATTCTTAGTGGTAGCACCAATGGCTGATATGACTTATCCCCAGCGTCCGAAATCATAGACCCCTTCTGAGAGATTGAAATCTGAATCGAAAAACCCAACGCTAACTTCGACCGACCAACCTAATGCCGTGTTCAAAGTAATTTTCCCCAGATAAACAATTATCTTTAACTCTCCAAAGTTTAGTTATATTTCTCTTTCTCTGAAGCGTATTTCAGATCTCGCGGAATAACTTCGAAAACGGCATAACAAACCCAAATATTTTGGAAGAAAAAAAAACTTACTTCCAAACGGTTAGTCAGAATAATGTTTGGGTACATGGCCCCCACGTCCAAATGATATATTCGAGGATTCTCGGACCTATATCAATTTTTTTCAATTTATCAGATTTTTTTCCGGAGATTCCAACCTTGATGGCGTCTCGATGAGCGTATCAAACATCGAACGTAGATCATTGCACTAAAATCCCAGATTATTTCGATTGGGAAAACAATGTGCACCCTTTCTTCGAAGTCGACCACCTGTTCTAATTGTACCCCAAACTCCCGTATTAACTCTTTCTTGAGCGTTTCTGGTACCTCGTCCTTCAATTGAGACAAAGCGGAGGGAATTAACCGGAATCTTGAAAAAAAATTAAATTTCTTATCTATCATGTCATATTGATGGGAAACTCACCGACAGGGAATATCTGCTCGAAAAACGCCGGCTTCCAGTGCCTCAACATGTCCTCCAACGTAGGTTTCACTTTCGATTCTGTGAAAAAAAAATTAAAAGTTCGGAAAAATTCACAGTATTCTTAGAAAAAAAACCGAAAAATTTGGAAAAAATTCAGTGTTTCTAAACAATAAAATTTGATTAGAGCCGTTTTTGCATTTATAGGATGGAAAAATAGCATGAAACACTGTTTTTGAAGGCTCTTTCAACTTTTAGAATAGCTTGGATGTGTTAAAACGTACAAGGAAAAATATTAAAATAAAAAAAGGCTTATTAGACCGCGGGGGAGTGAAAGCAGTTTATGGGGGAATCTGGAACTTTCCCACCTTTTTCGCCTGGGCCCCTTGTTTTTGAAGTACTGTGATTTCCTCTTGAACGGTTAAATTTTTCTCAGTTCAACCTGACTCCTACCTGTGCCCATCATTGGTCATTTGAGCTTCTTCCGCACCGGTGAACTTGTTGGGGAACACGATATTGTTATGGAAAGCTTCAACCATCAATAAAGCTTCACAGAGAGTTCCGGAGCCTTTTCGAAGCACCTGGGGAACGATTATGAGAGTGGCAAAAATGATTTTTAAAAAAAAACATCATCTGCTCCAAGAGGAATAATCGTGCAGAGAGCAAAAATGAACGGGTGCACGTATTTCATGTACAAATAATATGTCGAGACCGCATCGGAAACCGAATAATTGGCCAGGTGCTGAAAATTTTGATTAGAAACTATGTAGAGAAAGTTCACACCTGAGGCAGTTCTCGAGCCATTTTGCACATGAGCTCAGGCTCCACCTCAACTGGATCATATCTATAAAAAAATATATAAAAAAGAAAAAACGTCCTCTCCTTTAAAAATACCTCAATTTAGCTTTTGTTACCGCTTTGAGGTTTTGACTTCCAACGGGTAAGTATGAATCTCGTTTCACCCATCTAAAAATTGTTTGCTGCATAAATAATTTTAGAAAAGATTCAAGGCCAAAAAAAGTTGAAAATGCGTCACAATGAAGGTACAAAAAAACCCCTGAAAAAGAAGGAAACAAGGGAATGACCACTCAAAAATGGATATAGTTACAGTTGTTCCCTACGGGTCCAGTTCGTTATCAAGTGAAAATTAGTACAATAGCTTATTTTCGTAAAAAGTCACAGCCTGAAAATTGAAATCAACAAAATCTCCGAAACCAAAAATCGATTCTAAAAAAACTTTTTTTCATCCATTCAAGCTAGGAAACAGAACACATTTTTATAATTCAGGCGCCCTTAATTTTTTGTAATTTTCGGATTATCGAGCCCCTCACAAACTTTTTGATCGATTTGTTCTTTTGAACTTTATAAATAAAGCTAACGTGAAGTTTTATATACTAGAACAAGAAAAGCCAAAAAAAGCCGCTCAAAAGCTGAAAAGGCTGAACTCATGATCTGATTGGGTGAGTTTATTCAAATACATGTTGGGTTTTAGAATTCAATTCGACTATTCGTTTCTGTGAATGAATGTAGAATGCTTTTTGTCCGTTTTCTCCAAGTTCAAAGCCAAGAGAAAAATTCTCAGAGCCGCTTCAACTTAGCAAAATCAAGTGGAAAAGACTTTTTTTTCTTGATAACGGACTGGACCCCTAGAAAACAAATGTAGAAAGTTTGACGATAATTGAACAACTCCTGGGAAAGTTATGAAGAAAAAAGTAAAATTTCATACCTCACCGCACGGTCCTGTATATCTAAACCGTTATTCAGGGTTTCCAAGCTCTTGTCTTTTTTTTATGGGAAAAAATCCCCTTCGCATGTTCACTGACCTGTAAGCGTCCATGTGGATGCAATTTCGACTTTTATATTCGTCAGCCGAATCCTTTGAGAACCCAATTTCCTTTTCCATGTCGAAGCCGCGGATCTTTGCTCGAGCTTCTACGAAGGGCCTGGAAATGAACAAAAATAATTATTAACAAATTTTCAACTTTGAAGAAACAGAAAAAGGCTTTTTTTAAAATTTTCAACTTTGATCTACATAAAATTCTTTCTTCAATTTCGAACCAGATTTCGAAACAAATCGATGAAATACACAAACTCACCAATCAAAAGAGTCCCCGTTGTAGGTGACAACGATATTCGGCCGCACTTTCAAAAAAATGATCAAAAAAACCTGCAAAAAAATATTATAAATTAAAATCAGATTTTTTTATTGCCAACTTCCTGATGAGCGCAGTTTCATCGACTTCATTCCAAACAACGAATTCGCCTTTGTATTCGGGTTTCGGGGCATATTCAAATGGACTAATATCGGCTGACACGATTTCACGATTGATTATCAGAAAACCTTGGCCATCGACCTATAAATTTTCAAATCTGTCAAGGTTCAAAGACAAGAGAGAAATTCCTGTCGCACTTATTAGCTCTAAAAATTGATCAAACGGTTTTATGACATTAGCAAGTTTTTCTCTTGCAAAGAGTACTGTAAGTGAAAGTCCGCATTTGGCGTGTGCACTTTGCGTGTTTGCACATTGCGCGTGGTCCATCTCCGCGTTTTCAATTTTTATTTCTCATATAATGTCTTATAATGATTTTGGATGAATAGAAGATCTAGTTCAATTTCATCCTATTGTTGAACTTCCTTTCGATAGAATTTAGAATAAAAATGGAAAAAAAAGGCGGACTTTTGCATACAGTACTCTTTGGAATACGAAACTCGCCCTTGTCGTAACACTGGGTAAAAAAACGCACCATATAGGAAATCATCATAATTTCATCGCTTTCCCGGTCAGGAAACTTCAACGGCAATTTAGTCGTTTCAATGTCGAAAGCCAAGATTTTGGGCTTTGCGTGAAAATTGGCAAGATCTTTCCTTAAAACCATTGATTAACAGCTTTTTTGAATGAAATGAACTTTTTGATGGTGGGAACTCTCATGGGGCCGATTCCACGGACGTCGTACCATAGTCCGACAAAAATTTTCTCATCGATTGAAACTCGCATATGATATGGAACATCGTATTCTCTATAATATTTTAGACAAGTTAAAATACGATGCATGATGTTTTTTTAACAACATAAAATTTTTTTAAATCACCTGATATCAACAATATCCCCTAGAACATCGTCATCACGTCTGTCAGCTTCTTTCCCGCTTAGATTGCTGGAAACACATCCATTTTGCATTAAAAGTTTCTTCGAAGTTATTGAAACTCACTTTGCCAAATAAGTCACGTACTGCGACTCTTTTTTGATTCTCTCTTTATTTTTTCGAATCAATGGCATCAAGTCTTTCTTCATCTTGCTCATTTCAACTGTACTGGCGAAAGACAGTTTGATATACGGCTTTTTCAAACCAGCGAGATGATTTTTCTGAAAAGCAATTTTCCGAAATTTCAACTTTTTCTTTGTTGAAAACCATATCTAAGTCTTCCTTTTCGTAATACTCGACAGTCACCATGTTACCATATTTTTTGCATAAAAATGATTGAACTTGATGTTCTGAACCTTCGAGTGTGGCTATATACATATAAGGTCGGAAGGGGTAGGAAATCTGGGATGAAAAAAATAACTGGAAACGATTTTTCCTCAAAAACTTTACCTTGAACCTTTCGTCCATATCACTGATAAAGTAAAAGTCTACCACAGAAACAATCTGCTTTGTTTGTTCGTCTATCATTTCGGCCTAAATAGCTAGTTGAGGACGAAATAAAACTGCTTGTGGATTTTTTACAGGCTGCAAATTCATTAGAAATCCCTTCCGTTCGACGGTTGATGTATATCTATCAAAACCAAATTTCGCATCGATATAATCATTCGATCGAATGAGCTGGATCCGTTGCTCGTAATTCGCGTCACTGAAGTCCGTTTTTATGAAGCAAGTTAAACGTAAACTCACTTTTCAACAGCCTGGGCAACAAGTTCGTCCTTGTCCCCCATTCAAACTTCTGTGATGCTGAAATGGAGCAATATCAGAATAGAAAAGAAAAGAAGGAGAGAAGTGCTGAGAATTTTGAAAGTCCGTAATCTCGCGCGAGAATGAGGGATCAAATTTGCTCTAGCGCACTCGGCTCCCACAATTTACTCTGGCACTGTTGGTTGTCTATTTTCGTTTCTTTTTTTTTTTGCATTTTTCTTCATATGAGTTATTTATCACGCCTCATTTTTCCCTATCATACTGCTGGTCGTAAATAATTCAGCGCATAACATCAACCATTTTTTTTTGGATATCTTTAATCGAAAACTTGCTCGAAAGCAGCCGAGGGCCGGCTTGACCTAAACGATGTCTCAACCAAAATTCGCGGCCTAGGTAGCACAGCTTGATGCACAGTTCTGCTTATAAAACCTAAAACATGTTTGACGATCGAGCAAGAAAGCTGATAATTTTCCTTAACATGAAAAAAAACGAGAGGCCCTTCGCGCGTTCAGTTCTTGACTTTTTTTTTTAAATTAAACGTTTTTACCTTTATTTAAGGTGATGCCAGTGCGTACGGTTAGCAGTCTGGGCGAACTTCAAAGCAAAATAAATTCTGCTGATGAAAATCACATATTAGTTCTCGATTTCTACGCAGATTGGTGTGGTCCTTGTCGGATGATTGCTCCAGATTTCGAACAGTTTTCCGATTTTTACCAAAATGCGACGTTTATCAAAATCAATGTAGATCACCATCGGGGTAAATTCATTCGTTTCAGCTTCAGAATGTTTCTTGAAATTACAGATATTTCAAGTGGTTATCAAGTGAGAGCGATGCCAACTTTCGTGATTGTAAAATCGAGAAGAGAAGTTGCTCGAATGCAGGGGGCAGGGAGAGAGCGACTCCGTTCTTTTATTGATCAGTAAGCCTGTTTTCTTTCCCTTTATTGGTCCATTCAGGCATTATTCAAATGTTCCGGTAAATCCGTTCGCTGCAACTCCTGAAGAAAAAAAATTCCTCGAGAAACTGGTGTCCTACACGAAGCAGGTTAATTTCCAAATAAGTTAATGAAATTTTAAAAAAAATGGCTCCAGACCGCGTTTTATGGTGACGTAATTTATCAAACTCTGGCTCGAAGCGTGATTCCCGAGGATAAGTTGACTGAATTGGCTACGGTTGATTCGCAAGTGAATCAGTTTGCTTTGGCAAAAGGTTCATTTTCTGATGTATGAAATTTCTGAGAGTGATATAATATCGTTTCCCAAAAAAAAATTTTCTCACTAGATCTTCTTTTCGATTTATGCAGCTTCAAAGTCCTTAATTAGGTAAATTAAAACAAACAAAAAACCGCAATTCCAAGCTTTTTGAAGGGTCTTGAATTGAAAACCAGATTTATCGCGAGAATTTCTGAAAAAAAGTTCCGTAAGTAGCTAATAAGTCTAAGACAAATCAAACAATTTTAAATCCGGTTCATGATTTCAACGATTTCAGAGTTGTTGTCCTGGTTTAAAAACGACTTTTTCACCTGGTGTGATTCGCCTATTTGTTCTTGTGGGGAGCAAACGCCCAAGGATAAAGGAATGGATGGTTTCCATTTTGATTTTTTTATTTATAATTTTTTTGGCAACAAATTTGTGTCATGCTTCTCTCTTACTAGAGAACTACTCGGGTACGCGTTTCGAATTGAAACTTTGGTGGCTTATAGACCCTGGTAAAAGTACTTTTAAACAGGAAAGATTATCTGCTAAACGCCATAGGCTTCTGAGAAAAAGCTTTTCGAAAATGAAAAGTTTAGGCTTGAAAATTATCAAATTTCTGCTTTTCTTCTTCTTTTGGCTGGAAAAAAAGTTTTTTAGAGTTTATCATAGCCGGATCATTCAAGAAGATTGTATTAAAAATATAAAAAGAAGGTAAAAAGCAGTATTCTGAAAATTTTCAGGCCTGATTTTCACATTTTCTACTAATTTTTTCTCAGTTCTCTATCGGGTTCAGCAGATTCTCTCTCTTTTTTTGAAGACTTGGGTCTATAAACCACTAATCTTATAAGATCCGCGATTACGTGTTCGCGTAGTTCCCTAGTAAGCTTTCAGCATTTGGAAGTCCAAAAATTGCCCATCTTTCAGGTCGTCCCACGACAGAAGAACTTCGATTAGGCGCCAATCGTGTAGAAGTTTACGAATGTCCAAAATGTTCAGCGGAAGTTCGTTACCCGAGGTACAACGATCCGGCGAAACTCCTCGAAACCAAGTTTGCACTGAAAAACAAATGAAAAAAAACACATTTTTTTAATATAGAAAAGGAAGATGTGGAGAATGGGCCAATTGTTTCACTTTGATTGCCGCCGCGATGGGTTTTGATGTTAGGTTTGTTGGTTTCATCAAGACTTCATTTTCTCGAGTTTCATATCTTTTTAATTTTTGAAATTCACTGTCTCAGGTTGATTCTCGACACAACCGATCATGTTTGGACAGAACTTTGGATCGAAGACGAAAAACGCTGGGTTCACTGTGATCCATGCGAGAATATTATCGACTGCCCTTTGATTTATGAAAAGGTGTAGGGAACGTTTGCGCTTTGAAAATTCAGAAAACTAGATTTAGAGACTTGAAGCGTTGCGTTCGCGACGCGGCTTTTTGGCGGGGAACTCGTGGTCAAACGCAATCATCCTAATAATAATGAGAAAAAAATTTTGTATTTTTTTATTTTTTTATACTTCTATTCGTTCAACTACATTTTTCCCAACCATGAAAATTTGAAAATCATTAAAAAGGAGCTCAAAAAGAAGAAAAAACTGGACCCGTCAAAAGCCGCGTCGTGTACGCAACGCTTCACCAATATCTGAACAATTTGCAAAACAAAGCTTGATATCTCAACCTAATACCGGTAAATAGCTCATTTTCTTCCATGTGCCCGAAAGAAAAAAAAATCCACAGGGCTGGGGCAAAAAGCTACAGTACGTCATCGGCTACGGTATCGATCACATCTATGACGTCACGTGGCGTTATGTGGTCGACAGTCGGAAAACTTTTGATTTGCGACGTGACGTCAGACCTGAGACTTTTTCCTCTTTCCTAACGGTAACCACCAGCGATGGGGAATGAAAAGGGTGTACTTTGTTTTTATAAAGTTTTAGAAGCTCAATGCGCGGCAGCTCAGTAACATTACTGCCGAGAGGAAAAAAGAGGTTATTACGAGGCGAATGTACGATTTGGTTGAAATGGTCAGTGCTGAAAGCTCGAAACGACAAGCGGATAATAAAGCCTACAGTGGAAGGACCACTGGTTTGTGAAAATTAATTTCTTGACGAATAGAACTATGAATGGTTTTTTGACCACCTAAAAAAACTCTATTTTCACTTTCAAACTTCACCGCGTTTTTTCAACAACGTTCCGCCCACTTTTCTTTCCATAAAGTGTTGTGGGCATGAACTGCTCGTACTGTATGCGGCAAAGTGCATTGCGTGCATACACTTCGTGTGTTTAAACTTTCGTTGCGTGACGTCACCGGGTAGGACATTCGATATTTTTCAACTTTTTTTTTTTGCTTTTTTTCAAGATTTGCATTTTTATCGATGATATTTGCACGATAAAAAACAGTATCAAAAAAAAAAGTTGAAAAATATCGAAAAAAAACTCGGAAACAAAAAATCCGAAGATTTCCTACCCGGTGACGTCACGCAACGAAAGTTTAAACACACAAAGCGAATGCACGCAATGCGCTTTGCCGCATACAGTACTCCCCGCAAATGTGAAACTCGCTCTTGTCGTAACACCCATAAAACGATTTTGGAAAATTTCACACTATTTGAGGACCTTCAAGAAATTTTCCAGGAGATGAAGCTTGGCGAAGATCTCGTGGTGAAATGGGCCGAAAGTTGGTTTCTGGTACTTCTGTTGTTTCTGAGAATAGTGAACCCATCCAGTTGAACCAACAGGAGCTCGAAGCCAAGAAATTCAGGTAAAATTCGAAAAATAAAAGTTGTTTTACCTTGCCTCTCATCCACGTAATGCGCTTTTGAAGGCCTTTCTGATAAAAAAAAATCCTTTCAGACTGCAATATTCTTGTATCAAAGATGAATACGAAAGGGTTGGCACTCATAAAACTACACTTGGATACTCGACCTTAGCGACTTCAGTGAAAAATATCGCCAGAAAAGTGGAGAGCGATTGGAAAAAAAGCTATTTGTGTCGATCCGATGGCGCTCAAGAGGGAGAGGTAGGAAATAATCAGAAACAAAAATCTCACAACAGATCACTTGGTCAGTTGATCTGCGCGAGGTCAAAGAGATCAAATCGATCAGATTGAAATTTGACGGGATTTCTCAATTTGAATCGGGAAAAGTTATCGTCGTCGTTTGTGTTGCTGATGTGAGTTTCGAAATAAAGTAGTAAATTTTGAGGCGCATCATACAAAAGAGAAATATTTTGACAAGAAAGGGGAAGAGGCCTTTAAAAGATTTGAAAAGTATAATTAAAGTTAAGTCGAAAATTATCAAAAAAAAATGTACTAAAATTTAACTGTAAGATATTTTTTTGTGTTTTTCCTGAAATGAGAGATTTCTCAGTTTGCATTCTTCGGAATTCTAGAGGGGTCCATGTAGGGGTTGGGGAAAAAAACAGGCGCCGCTATTTCTAGACCAGGGGCGTGGCTTGCCTCACCGTAATTTTTGTGCAGTGGCGCGCACATGCTTACTTTTCCTCAGTCATTTTTCTTTATATTTCTTCATTTTTCATTTTTCTTATTCATATTTCTTTTTAAGTATTCCCATTTGATTTCAATATAACTCCTTCTATTATCTAATTAAATTTTTTTAATTTTTTTGAATACATGGTTCTTCTGTCTTTAGTATCGTAGACGAATTTCTTGAGGCCGAAAAATCGTTTTTAGTTTTAAATGAGTGTACGCCATTGCGAATAATTTCATTTTCGGGGTTCTTCTACTTTTCCCATAAAGATTTTTCGAGCCATAAAAAGTGAGCTCTTTATTTCGATGAAAAAAATCTCCTATTTTTGATAAGTTCAGGCCCTTTTTTTCTAGTTTCTTTTTGAACACTTTGCGAATGTGTCCAAAGTCCACAGGAAGAGGACTCCAACTATTTGATGAAATCTACATCGTCGACGACTACTTCTTTGGTCGAATTAAAAAGTTTTATAGTTTATTTGCTTTTTATTATCTCCGCGAAGCATACACCGCTGTGGGAAGTGTAGCTACCGCATGTAAAGATTTAAAAGCCTAAATTCATTTTCAGAAGGAAAGCAGATATGATGATTTTGCAGTTAACACGATCTATTTTTGAGATTTGTGTCACGACGGCTTCATTTTTCCTGGATTTGAACGAATAACTTCGGTCCTCTGGTCATGCGCGTCATTTACCTTCATCTCCATGCAAAATCTTGACGCTGTTAAGCGATTCTATCTGAATTAAAGAAAATTCCTATTAAATATTATGTTCAAGATACACAAAAGATAACTGGCTATTCGGGTGTGATATAAAACCTAGTTCGGGAGCGGTACATCGACAATCACGCAAATATTTAAATATCGTCTCCGCGCGGATCTCGCATTTATCTCGCTTTTTTTAACGAACTAGTAAATATTTGAATATTTTTCAAATCGCGATGTTGCGCCAAGATAAATGCGAGGCCGCTTCTAAAAAAATGCGAGACCCGCGCGAAGACATAGCGACATGTTTACGAATTCGTCAATGTACCGCCAGCGAGCTCGGCAGTTCTTCTCAGTGTACCTCCAAATGTTTAATAGAGCACAGTCAAATTGAATAAAAAAGTAATTGGTGCAGTTTTTCAGTGTTTTTTTAGGCCTTGCGAGATTTATGCCTCTTCAAAGTTTTTCGAGTTCTACTTGACAATCCTTTACTGCGTTATAATTCGAGAAATTTCGCATATACCCTAAACTTTTGACGCGTCTTGTTTTTTTTTCGGTTTTATTGGGTCGCGTTGCCATATAGATTCGAGTTCGTCCGAGATTTTTCGCACGGTAAGTTCTTTCCGTACACTCAAAAGTCTTACGCTGGTAGAATATTCTTAACTCATTTCTAAAGTATGGAATTGCGCAACTTATTTGGATTCCTATGCTTATTACGCGCAGTGTATAATAATTTGAAGAATCCAAAAAAAAAGTGATTAAAATAGCTGAATTTTTGAATTTGTTCGTCAATTTTCTCTCCACCAACAATTAGAAAACTAATAATTGTGAAGCAATGAATAAATGCTGCTCCACATTTTTTGCAGAATGATTTCAAAGAAAGTACTTGAGAAGAACCATATCTTCGAAAATTAAGAAATAGAAGGAGTTATATTGAAATCAAAGGGGAATACTTAAAAGAAATATGAAAAAGAAAATGAAAAAAAAAATGAGTATAAAGGAAATGACTGAGGAAAAGTAGGTATGTGCGCGCCACCGCACAAGGTTACGGTGAGGCAAGCCACGCCCCTGGTCTAGAAATAGCGGCGCCTGGGAAAAACAGCCCCTATAGGGGTAAAAGGCGGTTCCCATAGGGGTATAATTTAGGTAGCCCCTATAGAAGTTTTGGTCTTACCTCTTGGCCCCTAAATCTGAAGCGGACCCATTAGGGTCCCTTAATCTCATTCAAAAAAACGTAAATTAGAAGACTAAGATCTTTCGAAACCCATTTTTTTTTTCGTCGGCATTTTTTTTTTTGAATTACTCATGTATGCCCGCGGGATTGAAAATCATGAAATCAAGCGTTTCAAAAATCTTTTCACCGATTTTAGAGCTGTACAAAAGTGCCGAAAAGTGGAGAGCTCACCTTGGAAGAAATCAAGCCGGATGTCGTGAAGATTACGGTGAGCTTTGGCGCACGCTTCTAAAGTCCATCCGCCGCGACTTGACAGTTTTCAAGTGTCTGAGTCTCTCTGTTCCCTCACCTTCGAGGTCACAGAAACGCGAAAATAGCGCGTCAACAAGAGAGAGTCGTCGAGAGACGAGGAGGGCGCAGATAAGTCCCGCCTTTTTAAGTCGCGAAAAACGGACTACAGTGTCTTTGTATACACACTTTGAAACTGAATATGTGATATTTTCCAGGCCAAGCTTCTCGGTGGCGACGGCAATAACGCCTTCCAACATGCTCAATTGTTCCGATGCGATTCCGATGCATTGAATGATTATCAGTTTGTCCTCGATATTGACTTCAATTAACAAATTTCGTTTATCCGCATTCGATTCATCTTGTCACGCTGTACTTAACTTCTATTACAGGCAAATTCAGAATCAGTCAAAAAACAAATTGAAAAAAAAACAGAAGAAGCTTTTGAAGCCCCCAGTTTGGGTTTGGCCTTTGATTTAATTGGTAAAATCTTCTGTATTTGCATAGGCAAAGTCGGAAGGATGGCAAGGCTCCTTTTTTTGTCGCCTTTTTGCGGCATTTCATCGGCTCTTGTCCCTTTTTCCACCATTTCTTGAGCCTATAAAGCTCTAGGAAGGCTTGATAAAGGGGCTCTTTTCATTGCTTTTCTGTGACCTTTTTTGAGCCTCTTTCTTTAAGCGGCTATTATCCACCATTCCGGCTTTGCCCAAGTGGGAACTTTCGTATATTATATTATCGTTAAACATGTACTAGGGTGGTATGTTTTGTCTCGGTTTTTTTTCACTTCACTCATTGTGTGACAATAAAAATTATATGGTTTTAAAGCAAAAAAAAACTTTTTCTGATCGAATACGTGGTGGTATGAAAAAAACACCAGCGAAACTTTAAACGGCGACTTTTCCGAATTTTTCATATCGCTAGGGAACTTTCCGACGGCCACTTTTCCGACGGATCACTTTCCGACTTTTTTCCCTTATATTTTTCGGTTTATAAAACATCTATAAACATTTTTTTTTCCCTATTTCTTTGTGTTTTAATAATTAACCAACTACCTACTTTATATAGGAAGATTTAAAACAAAGATTTTATCTAGAAAAAAAGTCGGAAAATATTCGTCGGAAAGTTCTCTAGCGATATGAAAAAATCGGAAAAGTCGCCGTTTGAATATTCGTTGGTCTCTTTTTCATACCACCGAATACGTAGCATTTTTTCAAGTAAAATTGAAATCTTCTCGAACTTCTTTCTTTTTTTCAATTCCATGCATGCATTCGTCTTTTTTTATGATAAGCGGAACATTCAGAATGAACCTATTCATCAAGTTATCGCAAATCAATCGTTTTTCAACAATAGAAATTGAACTCGACGGATAATTTGCAAGATAAATAAATTAATGCATGCGAAAAAAAAATTGAAGGAAAACTGTACAATTGAGATCAGTGGAAAGCCATGGGGCTGGGAAAATTAACACCATTTCCCAGATTAAAATTTCAAAAGAAAAAAAGTACCGAGATGCGAAAAACAAAATATATCTTCGGGCATTATCGCCCAGAGGTTATTTCAAATAAAAGACCAGACTAGATGCTCAGTGAAGAAAATATAAATGAAGTTAAACTCGAACCAAGGCTAAAACTCGGAAATTTGACTTAGAATTGTAGGAAATAGAGCCCGACGTGTGTAGTTGCTGTATGGAATGAGATAGAGTGAGATCAGAAACTTTTGTGGGACCAGCCCTTAGGTTACCGTCATCAACTGTAGGTGTGACGAAAAATTAATTAAAGGACAAGTTTAGATTATGTGTACAATTTCTCGCCTAAGTCACCACTGTCACGGTATATGCCGTAACCCTTTACAGTGACCGTCAGCAACGATAACATTGTGGGAGAACAGTGGCTGGCGGATGACGATGGTACAGGTCGTGGAACCCTGAAAATACCTTCAAGGATTACATTACCTACAGTAGTACTAGGATGGAAAAAGGTGAGATCAAGACAAAAAGAGAACGTTTTGGGAGATGCCGAGACACAGATTTGGTATCAATGGCACAGGATGTTGAAAGTTGAGTTTCTTTGGGATAAAAATGAGCCGATTACGAGAACAGGGTGCATGGAAAAGAAGCTGGCTTTTCCGGTTGGTGAAGTTAAAATGAGCAAAATACCGTAAACACAAAGAAAAGAGGAAAATGGTGTGGATAATTCGTAAAAGTGAGTGGTACAAATCACAAAAAAACGTTCACGAGATACAATCGATGCAATCAAATCAATCGATACAAAAGACAATAAACATAAGGGAGCATATATTAAACTATAATAACACATCTTGTGAAAATTCAGTCAAAAATAAATTCAGTGTTTTGAGGTTTTTCTTCTTTATATAGTCTGTCCGCCGCGAGTTGACAGTTTTCCAGTGTCTGAGTCTCTGTTCCCTCACCCGCGAGGTCAAAGAAACGTGAAAATAGCGCGTCAACCTAAGAGGGTCGTCGAGAGACGAGGAGGGCGCAGAGAAGTCTCGCGAAAAACGGATTATATGACGTCACTTTTCGGGGAACTTTATATGAACGGTGTTTCATGTCTAGGAAAAAAAACCTCAAAACTGCACAAACTCACGCCAGTTGAAAAAACAGAAAAATCAAAAACGAAAAGAAATATGGATTATCGATCCATTCAACACCACTGCCTATGTACAATATCTAAATTTTTCAACTCATGATGTGCATATTGCTAGCGGGTGGAAGGAAACGACAGCGACGACAATAAAGACAGAGAGAGAGAGAGAGAAAGAAAAAAAAAACAACAAAGCTGCAGGACCATTATGATTAAGAGGCAGCATGCGCCTTTGAAAATCGCAAGCCGACGGGGCGAATGGGTTAATAGGGACGATCGGCACGCGGACGTTTCAATTGCACTTTAAGACGTTTCATTCCGATCTGGAAGCCGTTCATGGCGGCGATGGCCGCCTGCGATGAATGCACGTTGTCGTAGGAAACGAAACCTGCAAGCAGCTGGGTGGCCGCCTATGTTCGGTCCGAAGGACTAGGATATAAGACAGAACATTCCCGGAAAACAGCCGCGAGAAAACCGCCGAGGATGAAAATTGTACGCTCCATGGCGGATTTTTGAAAAAAGCCCTTTCAGACTGTTTTCTAAAACCCTTCGAAACAAAATTCCGGTGGATGTTTAATAAAAAACAAATTAAATAGTTGAACGTATTAAATGACAAAGTTGATTATAGCCCATTCCGTGCCAGCTTGTCACAATTTTCGTTTTCTTCTGAACTACAGAACCCTTCCCCTCGATGCGCGCAATATCATCTCGGCCTGCGCCTTTAATCTAATGAAAATTTTAGGCCAAACAGAAAAACGCAGGCAGATAAACACCCCTTGCGCTTCGAACAGAATGATTCTCCAGTTCGGAGGGATACAAAAATCGTGACAAGCTATCGCAGGATGGCACATAATGCAAATTATCACGAATTTCATTTTTTTTTTTAAATTCTTTATAAGAATCTTGTCAATTAAAAGAATTTAGAACATAAGTTCGAAGCCTACATTATCAGTTCAACTCAATCAAAGTTTTTCCATGAACCACATAATTTTTCACCCATCAGCAGCTATTTTTCGAAGGCCAATTTCAAACCGGCAACTTTGTCATATATCGAATTTGAAAGTTCTCGTTGATTTTATGCTTTTATTTGAATTTTTTTCCGGGCTTCCCAAATTTTTTTTCAATAAGAAATAATGTTCATATTGCGAAAAAAAATTTCAAACAATCGCAGTTCATCGGCTACATCACTCACCATCATGTGATAATTTTTTTTTCGTCATCCTTTTTGCTTCGGAAAAATATTCGAAAAAAAAAACACTTGGGATTTTTTTTGCTTTTGCCACTGAATGAATCCACCACTCAAACCAAAAACAACAGCGAGCAGCCAATATTTGAAATTATAATCTATGATGTCATAAAGGAAGACGGCACGAGTTCAGCTTGAGTACATGAAAATCGTATCTCACAGTTTTCACATATCTCTTGCCGAAAAGAAAACTACGACATTGTGGAATTATATTTATAGCACAAATCAGTCTTTTTTTTCGTTTTTAACAAGTTCCTTTTTTCTTCAAGGCAGTTTGACAGATTATCTCCGAGAGACGAAAATAGCCAAAAAGAAAATCTGAATGCTGTCTTTCTCAAAGGTTCACTGTCGCACGCCTATGGGAAATACAATAGGAAATATGGTTCAAAATAACTTCCTGGAGTTACCGGAGAAGGATTTTTACTGACTCATCTGTGTACCTTCCAACTCTCCAGATAGTTATTATGAACATAAGATACGAATCAAAAAAATGTTTCATTTTTTTAGTTCGTAACCTTGATAATATATAATATATAAGTAAAACAAAAGTTGAGAGACAGAGAGAACAACACACCAACCGAAGCACTTTGATTGGTTGGTAGCGCGGTCGACGAACACTTTGGCGCTGATGACGTTGCCGAAAGGTGCGAACATTTGGATGAGTTCGGCGTCGCCAAATTCTTGGGGCAGATGATAGATAAACAGGTTGCAACCATCCGGACCAAGCACTAAAATCCCAAACGCAAAAACTCAAGTCCACCAACCACCAGGGAATATTTTACTATATTAAACCGTTATCAAAAGTTTGACCTGACTGGCCCAACTTCGACCTTTTACAAAGTGGGATCGCACGGCGACACCAAATCGACTAACGGCGGAAAATAAAATTTGTTGTACGCAGTGCACGCGATGCATAAAAAGCGACGCGCAAAAAAGGAATTTGACTGTATATTATGGCTGAAATCAAACTTCTAGGTGTTATTCAAACAGGGATCGCTTGAAGAAAATCTACTATATTTAAATTCTAACAAAGTGAAATCCTGAACCCAAATGAAGAGAACTAATTCCTTCTAGAACTAATCTTCTATTTCAATCCCCAAAATTTTTTTCAGACCTCTAAACAGTGGTGAACATTTCACGATTTCAAGAAAAACAAGGCTCTGTCGGAAAAAAAAAATATAAAACTGAAAACCGACTATATCTCGAATCAAAAAAATAACAAGTACGCTCTATCGAGATGAGTGCGCGTGTGCGTTGCGTGGTGTCGTTTTTTTTCACATGATTGCGTGGTGTCGCCGTGGATCGAAGCGAGAGACTGAAGACTTCATTCGTCAGATCAAACTTCGAGCTTGATAAATATTGAATATCTTTTTGAAAATTCGATTAGAAGAAAAAATGGCGCAATCTTCGAATTTTAGAAAGAAAATAAGAAACGTCGAAACGACGCCCTGAAAAATATTTTTTTTACATTTTTTTTGTCCATGAGACGGATTTAAACGTACTTCTTCACATATATGAATTTAAATTTCCAAGTTTCCTACAAAACTTTTCACAAAAAAAACGGCACGGTACGATGGCACTGATAGGAAAATACATAAATAGCACTAGACTATAAAAAAAACATCTAGCAAACTGCTATATTTAGGCGAAATCAATGAAATAATGACCGACAAGACGGAAAATGGCAGGTTGCAGTGTAAATGTTTGAGTCAAATCGTGGGATGTCTTAAAAGTTCAAGTTGCGTACTTCGAGCTACAAGTGAAGTTTTTAAAAGTCTAGAATTAATTCAAAATTACAGCCCGGTTAATTTTTGATGAGCATATCTCATTTCCGATTTATTTATACTCAATAACTCACTTTAAATTCGGAAAAGCAACAAAGGATTGAAATTATAAATTTAAAAAGTCATACAGTACCGCTCAAAAAGTCTATTAAGTTTTGGTTTTTTTGGGGATAAAATTTTTTTGAAGTGCGATATCGATTCAAATTTTTTTCATAGTTTTTCTGAGAGAGACATACGTGTTCTGGCAAAATTTCAAGTTGCTAGCTCAAAAGAATAATAATTTTTTTCGAGAAAAAAACGAATTTTTCGAAAAAAATCGAATTTTTTTGCTATTTTTCAATTAAAAAAATCATAGCTCAACAAAAAAATTTTTTTATCAACACAAAACATTGTTAAAAACAATATTCGGGACCTAGTACTTGGTTGCGAAGCCCCTGGCGTCAATCACTGCCTGGCATCTTCTCTGCATAGAATTGAGCAAAGTGTCGATGGTAGACATGGGGATCTGATTCCATTCAGACAGCAGTTGAGCAAACTTCTCGTTGCAATTCTTGGCTCTTTTGTTGGCACAACGTCGCTCCAACTCTTCCCAGAGATGTTCGATCGGGTTCAGGTCCGGAGATTGACTTGGCCACCCCATGACATTGACCCGACGGCTCTTGAACCAGTCCTGAGTTTCAAAACCATACGAATTACTTGTCAATTTTTCTCACCTTGACGAACAGTGAAGTGTGCTTGGGATCGTTATCCTGTTGATAAACACTCCCACGGCCCATGGCTCTCAAGTGCGGCAACATCTGGTTCTGGAGAATGTCTTTGTAGACGTGCTTGTCCATGATGCCGTTCACGCGATGAAGCGGTCCGATGCCACTTCCAGAGAAGGCGCCCCACACCATGCAAGAACCTCCACCATGTTTCACGGTGGGTAATTGGTATTTCGGATGATATCTGGACCCAATTGGTCTACGAACCCACTGAATTCCGTCAGTCCCGAAGAGGAGGAACTTGCTTTCGTCGGACCACAGAATCTTGTTCCAGTCTTGACGGGTCCAGTTGAGATGCTCCTTTGCCCACTTCACCCTGGCGGCTTGATTCTTTTCAGAAATCAGCGGTTTCTTCACTGGACGTCTTCCCATGATTCCAGCAGCATTCAGACGTCGTTTCACGGTCGAGACGGATGGCGGAGATGGCGAATTCAAGAAAACTTCCCGTCTGATCGCAGGGGCGGTGAGTCTTGGATTGGTTCTAGACGTCTTCAAAATGTTCCTATCGTCATTACGATCAGTGACACGTGATCTCCCAGTGCGTTGGCTCTTAGTAGAGCCATCTTGAGCTTTCTGACGCTTTAGGAACTGAGAAATGCCCGCCTCTGTCACGCCGAACATTCCTGCCAACGTCATCATGGTCAGTCCATTTTGACGACCCACAACGATGGCTCTTTTGTCGTTATCAGTCAAATCCTTTTTTCCAAAGGTTCTTCCCATGTCTGAAAACATGAAAAAAATCATATGGTAACATTATTAATTTTTAAAAAAATTTAATAAAAAAATAAATAAAAAAATAAAAGCATAAAAAAACAAAAATGGAATTCAATAAAAAAATGCCTAAAAACGCGTCACAGTGATTGCGGACATGTCTTTGTATACCGTATATGTTTCAAAGTATATTTTTACATTATCCCTGAAAGTTATATATAAATCGGATAAGTACTCGCTGAGATATCCCCAAAAAACCAAAACTTAATAGACTTTTGAGCGGTACTGTAGCTCAAAAGTAAATACGAGAAGCACGTACTTCATATAAATTATGAACAGATATAGAAAAATAATGCAACAGTTTTTTTTTAACCATTACTTGACTTATTGAAACCAAAAAACATTCCAAACTTTAAACTATAGTCTGTTCAGATTTTGAATGTCAAGTCGTCGCTCAAGGTCCGCCCCTAATGGTGCGATAAACCAATCAGAGAGCGAGCCATCCACAGAGTGTTTTTGAATGACGTCATCCTATTTGACATTCAAAATCTGAACAGACTATATAGAAAACTCGTGTCACTAAAATTTTTGTACGTTCCTATTTTTACTTCAAATTTTGTCTCAGAAGATGGAAAACTTTTTTTCAAAACCAACACCATCACCACTGGGTGCAAATTGAAGAATAAAAAATATATAGATAATTCCCCACAACTTGATACAGTCTAGCATTTTTGCGTCTCTTTTCCTTCCCAGGCCAAGTAATGAAAACATGAGAATTGAGAGGGGTAAGAGAGCCCAGAGAAGTCAAACTATTTCAAGTTCCGGGAAATGGACTAAAACAATATGGATAAATGTTGAAAAGGATATTTTCACTGGGAAGATGAAGGATTGAAAAAGAAAGAAAGAGATGGATGATAACATAAATGATCACCTAAATTCTAATCTAGCAAACTTCGTTTTTGAAAAACACCACTTCTGGGTTGCTTTCCTCAGACTAACCGGAGGACATCGCGAAATGAAAAGTTCAATTTTTTTTAGGTTGGTAAAAATTTTTTTTCTGTATTATGATACTTGAGATTTTTTTTGAATTAGAAAGAAAATTCATGAAAACCAGCAGAGGGCGTGAATGACTAATTACCTTCTTTAGGAGTGACCAGAGGTAGTTGAGCAGCAGCTTGTTGTTGAAGTTGGGCCAGTTGCAAGGCGGCAGCTGCATCTGGAAATCATCCGAATGTCTTTAGAAAGATAATTACAAGCAAATTTCACAAAAGTAAGAAGAAAAAATCTGACTGTGTTGAGCTTCGAAACCGAGCAAGTTATATGGCGAAGGGTTGGCTGCGGCAGCGGCGGCCAGCTGATACGTCGTCTCGCTCACCGTTGTTGGGACTAAAACAGACGTAAATTTTGTGAATTTGAAGCCTAATCTTTCAAGAATTCCTATTACCTTGATGCTGAGGCTGTTGCTGCTGGGCAGCGAAGGCTTGCAACGCTTGATAGTGCTGATTTGCTAGAAAATAAGAATGAAAAATCATTTCTACACTATCTTACGTATTTTTTTTTATTCAAGAAAAATTATAGTAAATTTACTGACTGGACTCATAATGATAGCATTGGGAACACAAGGTCTCGTAAACACATTCGCACAGCTTTTTTTAAGTCAAAGATTTCGAACTATAATGCAAGCCTTAGAGCGACCGCAACGCGTGTAGCCATTCTACATGCGGCCAGTAAGTTCTAAGTCGTGAAAACATACATATAGATCCTGGTTATCATGTATAGAAGGCTCATAATAATCGGATTTTCTCCCAAATTTCGAATGAATTTTATCTTGAACACAGATAGTATTTTATTTTGAAATCTTGAAAAATGGATAAACCGGCAGTGAGGCCTAACTGTGCAGCCAATGGTTGGGAGGGAGCAGCAAGAACTTGTGGAGCCGTCGCTGCCGCAGCCGCTTGCAGTTGAAACATCTCAAAACTCCGATCCATTCAAGAAATCAAGTAAAAAAAATATCTCTTTTGAAAAAAATAATATGGACACCTTTTTCCAAGCCTTAGGTCTTTTGGTTCATCGATTACAAAGTTTGCCAAATCTTCAAGTTCTCTTCAGAGAGGGACACTAAACTCCTATAGGGACCACTTCCTCGTCCCCTATGGGGGGCTGTTTCCCCTCTAACCCCTATAGGGACCACTCTCGAATTCCTAAGTTCTCTGCACTCTCTCTTCCCTCGATAACGTTATCGTACTATTTTCATGTTTCTGTGATTCTTTCTGTGAGAGAAAGACGTAGACAAGTTAGAATGTGTCTAGTTGTGGCAAACAAACGAACTTTTTCCTTTTCGAAAATGGTTATTGAAACATAATTTCTTTTATGGAACAGTATCTTCTAGGGAAACAGACCAAATTATTGATAGTCAATATTTTTTGGACAAGATTGAGCTGAATGCATACCGAGTTTTGAGGCTGAAGAATAGGGAAGTAAGCCTGAGCGGCGGCGGCAGCTGCCGAAGTCTGAGCAACGTTGGATAGAACGGCCTGTTGTTGGAGCAACTGCAACTATGCGGTTTGATTCAATCGCAATTATTAGAATCTTTTTGCTCGCACGTGTAATGACTGTTTGGAAGTTCAATCGAAATTTAACAGCTTGCTCTACATAATTGTCAAAAACGAACATTTTCAAAAATGACCGTTCCATTTCTAACATTTCAACCGCATATTAATTTCAACCTTGACTTTGAAACAGTTAATTTTCAAGTATTAAACTTCAAAACAAAGTTTTCTAAACTTCACTCTCGATTTTCTCAAGTTAAGCTTATAAATACTGAATTTTTAAACCAATTAAAAAAAGCTCTCGAACTTTGAGCTCAAACTACCTCGAAAAACGCTTTCAACTTTTGAAATATGATCAAATTTTGAAAAATATTGAACGAACGCATGATTGAAAGCTTAATTCACGCGATTCTAGTCATTTTTTTCGACTTGAAAGGCTATTTGGGAAATTGGCAAGGACGAAGCGTTGCGTGTGCGACGCGGCTTTTTAAAGCCGTCCTGGACAATATTCAGGTGCGCGCATTGATTATAGAGAGAAATTATTTCGCTCACAAAAAGAAATAGTAATAATAAATTTCAACGATATTCTAAAAGCCATTATTTTCAGTCAATATTTTTCAAATTGTTCCAAGGGACATGCTGGAAATTCACGGCGTTTTGCGTAGTGGAAGAAAATGTAAAATTTTGAAAATGTGGAGCGGCTTGGAAGGGTTGCTCCACCTAGATTTACGGTAGACAGCTTGCGCGCGAACATTTGAATTTCTTGTTGCTCAAGTGCTTCACGTGATTTTTCATGTTTATTTCAGCTGTATCTTTATCTGTTTCGTACTGATTTACGGTAATTATTTTTTTATTGCGACAGCAAAATGCAAAAGGAACTTTTTTTCAATTTCCAATATTAAATGCTGTGTTTTGACCAAATTTTTCCCTTTAAAGCAAAAAGCCTTTCAGCAACATTTTCAGTGTCAAATTAAATTTTTTTATTCGAATCAATCAATCTCTTCATTTTCGCAACATCAGAATGGCATGGCGATGTTGCAGAGGAGAAAAAAATACCACTAGGTGGATGAACTAAACTAAATCTGTAAAGAAAACTTTTTTTAAATTTTCAATAAGTCGGGAAAGACACATAGAACCACAATAAGTCATTTTTCGGCACAAAAATTCCACGTTTTTTTCACTCAAAAAAAGGACTTTAACCAATTTTGAGGATGAAAGGTATGAAAGTGTTCAGAAGATAAGAAAAAAACTTTCACCCAAATGTTTTTTTGTCAACTAGAAAAGGAGTTGTGAAAGGATCGATTTTTTTCCACGTCTATAGTTTTGCTATTTTTAAAAAAACGCTATTTTTTTCGAGGAAAAAAATTATTTTTTTGAATTTAATGAGTATGCGAGTTAGCGTCGTTCTGTGTATGCACAAAAGACGTCAAATATTACGGAAATTGTGGGAGGGGCGTCGTCAAAAGAACGCCGTGAATTACCTGAGTGTAGGCATTATATTGAGCATTCACGGGGTTGACAACCATCGGATTGAGGAGTCCCATTTGCGCCGCCATTTGTTGCATCCGTCGCACCTAAAATAGGAGAAAAAAAACGTGAAAAAAAGTGTGAAAAGGTTTTTTTCTTACGACGTCCAGCATACTTTTCCGTAGTGTCGTGTATCGTGTGCAAGCACTGCGGCGCTCTTACACAGAAAAATTGCGTCAATAGACGAGAAAATCGATTCTCTTTATGACCCAGGCGTTAAAGCTGCCGCCTGCGCCTTTAATACTTGTATATCCGCCCCCTTATTATTTTTATTATTTAAAAACTTAATTTAAAACTAAATGTTTATCGCAATTTTTTCCACTAGCAAAAACGTCCATTCAGTCAGTCTCACCTGACGCTCTTTCTCCGTATCGGCGTATTTGACAACTAAACTGGAGCTGGCGCCAGGCATCGTTTGGCTTCCGTGAAGAGCGGAAATCGCTGGAAAATAATGTATGAAAAGATAAGTAGGGAACTACAGTACCCATCTGAGCGTCGAGACTATTTTTGTATTTAACAAAAGCGCAGCCCTTGGAAGCCCCGTCAGCACCTCGGAGAACTGTCACCTGGAAAAATTTGTTTTTCTTCGATTTTTTTAAAAATAGAAAATGAACTATGGAAATAAAATTTTTATTGCATTTTTTTGACAAAGTTAGGCAAAAGCTATTTTTTTATTGTCTTCTCAACCTCAAAAAGGTGGTTTCAACTATAATTCTAGAAAGGATTGGGAAGAGTTGGAGACCTTCAATTCAGTCCGCCCATGTGTGCTTGGAACGCATCCAAACTGCTCAAAATATTTTTTTAATGCAAATCTTTTCGGGAAAAACAGAGCAAGCAGAAACAAATCCCCAAAGCCGCCGAGAAGGGAAATCCGCTCTTGGAAATTCTTGGCCGAAAGACGAAAAAATTCGCTCATTTTTATTCAGCGGCGCCGTGGCCCAGCCGTCACGCCGCTCATTTATCAGCCGGCCTTTTGGGACTCTTTTTGAGGAAGAAGCTGAAGAAACGGTCTTTCGCGAGTTGATAAAGTTCTAGAACCTCCTCATGACCCTCAAATTTAGCCCGTATAAAAAAATTGGAAGTTAAATTTTTAAGAAAAACTGTACACGACAGTTCCAAGAACTTTTCAAAATTATTAAAAAAATTTTTTTTCTGAGACTCCATTCGACGGATTTTTATAATATAAAAAAACGACCTTTTATGTGATGAATCATTTTGCAAAAGCTATTTTTTAAATTTTCCCCTCTCTTCTTTCCATCTCCATCTCTGAAACACATTCAAAATATTCTAAAAAGTTGATGTCTGAAAAAACATTATTTTAAGGTATTTTTACAGCCGGTGAATCCACAAAAACTACTCTCATACACATCAAAAGAAAGGGTCGGAAAAAGCTCTATAGAAATGTTCCTTTTAAGATGACAAAGGCTCCCTTTTTGCGCCATTTTATCGGCTCTTATGCACCCTTTTTGCTGCCTCTCCCTCTTTCCACCATTTCTTGAGCCTTCAAAAGCCCAGAAAAAAAAATGGAAGGCTCGATAAAGGGTCTCTTTTTGTTGCCTTTCTGCGGCCATTTGCGAGACTACTGCGCCCCTGTTGCAATGTCACGCCCACTGACCGCATCTGCCGCCTGTTTAAGAAAAATGTGAATCTTCTAGCATCCCCAATTTCTACGCATTTTTACCAAACGCAAACCTCGTCAAGAGCTCCGAATGGGTGAAACATTGCTCGAACGTCGTCTTCCGATTGGTGCTTCGACAACATTCCGATGAATAACTTCTTGTCATCAAGCTAAAACGAGAACATCTCATGACATCCTCGACGAAAATCCCGTCACCTTGTCTTTGGGACTGGCTGGTCGACTTTCCGTATCAGCCGGTTTCACCTGCATAGCTCGATTCATCTGAAAAAAAAAACCGTTTTTTTTTCAAGTCCTTTTCAATCCCGTTTCTTTTCAAGTCCTCAGCCAGGTGACTTACGAAAAAAAGGCACAAGGTTTCAATTCAACATGTTCGAGCCTCTTGAAAATGTTAAATATGGTGTTTGAAATGAAGCTAAAATTTTAGAAAAAATTTGAAAGATAGTAAAGTGTTATTAATAGAGGCGCACCGTAGCGCAACAGGTCGTGTGCCCGTCTACGGTACACAGAGTCACAAGTTCGATCCTCTACGCAACCCAACTAAAGGGTTTAAGAAATTTCGATATTGGGAAACCAGGGCTTCAAAACTGCCAGCCACCACACACAACGGCGAATATGTCACTAGAGCCCCTGATTATCACTGAAATCCGGATAGGACTTTGTCTCATCGACACGTCGCTCAAGTGATACAAATACACAAGAAGAGGAAGAAAACTGTTAAAGTGTTAATAAAAGTGACAACAAGTCGTGTTGGAAGTATTGAAATTTTCCATAAAGTAATATATGAGAAGGAAGGGATTGTTATTCGCAGGATAAAACATATAATCAACTGGGAATAGCTGAAATGGGTCCTATAAGGAAAAAGACAGAGCTATACTAAAGGACCCCTTTCTGCGACCCCTATAGGGCTCCCTAAATGGTCATTTAAGACCCACTATAAGGAGTTTGCGAGAAGTGACTGGTGGGAGTTCGGGAAAAGAGAATTTTCGTTTTTCAAGATTTCAACACCTGATAGAGAAATGATGCGTGTGATGGAAAGACACACAGTAAATCTCAAACTCCCTTCAGCTTTTCACAGGACTTCAAACAGAAAATTTTCTTTTTTAAAACTGAGATGATACATTCTCAACCAGGAAAGAAATCGTTTTTAAGTGAGTTAAAGAAGTTTCAAGATTTTTTTTTGTGGAGGCAAAAAATTGGCAGGGTCATATTCGACATGAAACGAATTCGGAAGTAAAAGTACTTGTTTTTCTTAATAGCTTCAGATAAATATACGAGCAGAAAAAAAAAAGCGGAATAGAGAAACTCGCGGAAAAAAAGGAAAACCGATTGAGTTTCAAGTCAACCAAAAAAGACTTTAGCTGCTCGACAGAATTCGAAGAAGCTTATGAAAGCCAGTACAAGGCGCATTTGTGTGTCTATGTGTGTGGCTGTGGCTGACCGAATCGAAATTTCGTGGCAAGGTTAGGGGCTGAAACTCGATTTCTTCCCGACAATTGGATCAGAGTTTCCGCGCCCGTTGCCACCTTCCACGGGCCTTTTGTTATGCTTTTCCCATGTTGGCCGATGGTCCGTTTTAAGAAAAAATAAACGAAACTTTTTTTTTCATTTTTCTGTAAAATTTTGCAAATTATACGTACATTCGTTCCGGAACACTCTTGAAGCAAGTGTTTCCTCAATTTTTGGGTCTCTTGAAGCTAGAAAAAAAAAGCTGAAATGTCCTTTTCGATAAAAAAAACGAAAATAAAAGGAAAGATCTTTTGAGAACAGAGAGAAACAAATAAATGTTTTTCAATCATAATTTCTTTTCCTTTCACTTTTGCTTTCATTGAATCCAAAAACCGGTCTTGAACTAAATAAAAAGTGAAAAAAACGAGATTAAGGTGACCAAAAAAATTTTTCGATGATTTTTAATCCTTTTTCTTTGTCACTCAGTCCTTTTTTTAATGGGTTTTTTTCCTTTCGTCTTCATTTTTTTGGTTCGAAATAAAAAAATTCAATCTGAACATTCCTGGAAAAAAATTATTACGTACCCCTGGAAGAGTTTTCTGATCGTGGAGTGCAGCCTGACATCGGATTGCACTATCTCGGTGACAATAAGTCAAAAAAAGCGCATCCTTTGTGAACTCCTGAACGATTTTTTTATCAGGAAAAAAATTATAATGAGGTACAAAACGCGATGAATGGTCAGTCCCTTTTTCCCATGTACCCCCCCCCCCTTCTCCCAAAAAAAATTAGCTACAAAAACATTGATTCTAAACAAACCCGTATATTTGTCCTTAAGAATAGTGAACTCGTAGATTTTTCCAAACTGCTCAAAGAGGTGCCGCAGGTCTTTTTCCTCCAAGTTTCGAGGGATCTGTAATCCGTTGTATAGCTTCTCATTATCAAAAGATTTTATGTTTTTTCTTAAAGTTGTATTAAAAATGAGACTTCTCATGGCTTCACAGCTCCAAGAATTGTTCTCAACGCTTAATAAAAAAAAATGTTTTTTTTTAAACTCAGGTTGGTCTTTATTCCCCTGACTTTCCGAAGCAAACAAGGCTGAGCAAGATATAGTTTTGTATAAAGGGAAAGCTCAACGAAAAAGCCGAACCCATTTGATTTATGTATTTCATATCTGAGCTCTACGAACGCGATCATTATCTAAATGACCGCTGTGAGCCACTTGTGGGGATGACTGGCTACATGAAGGTTTTGGCTTGGAAAGCTCTCGGCTCCACGTATCGATCAGCGCCTGGAGGGCCGCGCGGCTTTTCTCTTTTCATATATGGAAATGCGGCCGTTTTGTTCTAACAACCAAAGAAGATCCCAAAAACAGACATGAATTTCTTTCGGGGTCGAAAATCGTTCGCACTATTTTTCAATGACAACTGAATCATCATTTCTAAATATAAATTTAATCTACAAGAGAAATTTTTCGCTCAAATTTTTCTTTTTTTCGAAAGTTCAAAAAAATGAAAAAAATTGTTCAAATGAGCACAGGGAAAAAAATAAATAAAGGGTGTTACTGACTAAATTCATTTAAAAATCTCAACTTTCATTTCCCAGCATTCATTACTTTTTCAAATTCTAAAAAAACAACTCTTTATCTTTATGAGATGAGTCCAAAAAAAGAAACTATTGGTAAATACTATAAATAATTGAGTCTTTATTCAAAGCGAAATGATCTCCTTCGGGTTTCAAACAATCTGTTCATAACTGTGCTCTATCAACCTACAGAGCTAAGGTAATAGAAAATTTGAAATTTCAGTTCCGAATGAAAAAAAAAGTCTGAATTAATAAGATGATTCCATTTTTCATTCCTGGAACCAAGCAACGATCAATGAAAGCAAAACTGGGCATCGGAATATTCAAATGAACCCAAAAAAAAAAAATCAAATATTTGGTCAACACAATTATTTTTCCCCTCAATAATTAAAAAAAATTTTTTTTTCAATTTTTAAAAGTGAAAGAATAAAGTAGCAAGGCCTTTCCATCTTTCAAATTGAAAATGGAAATAACTTCAAAAAAATAAATTGTAAGAGAAGAAAAATCAACCTGTCCAACGAAAAGTTTGACAGCATCTTGATCCTTAACTGGAAAGCCGTTCGAATCAGTAGAAGAAGTGCTGCTGGCGCGAACTTCATGAACCATTTCGGTGAATCGTTTCAAATTCAGAAGCGAAAATCAGAGTAATTCCATGATTTCGAGGAAGACGTGAGAAAGAGAGAGAGAGCGAGAGAAAGGCCGCCGGCTTGCACGGCTCTCTCTTCCGATTAATTTCGCCTCACCGGAAAAGACAAGCCCATGGAGTGTCAGAGGCGCGCGACCAGACGGTCAGACGGTTATATGGGTCCGCCCCGGGCGGCTTGCCTCATTGGCTGCCGGCCTCAACTCCCATGACACTGCTCGGCATCATGCTCTTTGGCTCGTCGAGCCGAGAAAAGCGCACTCCTTTTCTTCCCCATGGGAGCCGTCCGTTCTCAGCTCGAAGCTTTTGTTGGAAGACGCCGATGTATGTGTGCAAGCAAGTGGCTTCTCAGCTGATGCGCAGTTCGAAAAAGAATAATATTTCAGGAAAAAAGGTCATTAAAAAACTGATTCAATTAATTACGCGGTTCCACCGCTCATTCGCATCTTAATCCAGACACAAGACGGATGAATAATGACTGACTTCTGCCTTGAAAATTCAACAACCTGCAGCTATCGATTGAAAAGCAATAGGAGAGTGAGGTGCTTCGGGGAACTGCGGACACTCTTTTTTCTTTTAAGTTGAAATTTTCCAAAAGGCTGCTGTTGCAACGAAATTAGATGTCTTCAAAAAAATGGAATACCTTTTCCATTTTTTAAAACCACTCATATCTGACCGGATTAACCTTCAGAGACATCTTGGATCGAGATTAGTGAGAGACGTCATTAAGACTTTGCCCTACTCGATTCATCGATGTAGCGTGTCTAATAACGGGAAGCGTTGACATATACAGTATGAGTATTTTTTTGGTTTTTCGTTGATGAAGTTGTCCCCTTCAAGTACCACCTCTACGCGGTGATGGGGAGGCAACGCCATTTATGGCGGCTAACGGTACACCGGTCACGCAATTCGGCTTGCTTCTGCTAACAGAATGGGCGGTCTTTTTTAGCCCTGGCAAGGCAAAAAGGATAATAAGACCACAATTATGCTATAACACGTTCAACACCACGGATGGAACTTTTTCGCAAGAATGCCAGTCAACCAGGACGACAACACTGGATGACCGATTGCATAAGATCTCCTGGAAAACGTGTGGTCCACGCTTCGATCAATAAAAGGCAATAAAAGGTCGAAAGCGAAGATGGACCATCTAAGTATCTAAGTAAGTAAGAAGTTGTTGAAAACGACCCTGAAATTGGTTCAAATTTCCGGTCAAAAGATTTTTTTTGACAGAGTTATGGATGAAAAACCGAAAAATGTGTGCTCCAGTCTTCTAAAAATATTACATCGTAAACTCGGTTCTTTTTGAAAAAAAAAACTTTGGAAAAGGTGCGGTAAACCGGAAAAAATCTCTTTTGCGATTCTAATTTGTAATTTTACGCAATTGTCCGTTGGTGCCGCCATCTTCACTCTTTATTAATTCAAACTGTGACATCCGCTGTTTTTTTTGCAACTCGGCTGAACGCATCGGAACGAATCCAGATCTACAATAGGAGACAAGATGGAGGGGCAACAGAAGGCTTGATTAGGTCAGGTCGGTCGGACGACGGCGGCGAGCGGGAGCTGGACCAGCTGTCACCCCATCGCCTTACATGGAACATCTGCTCCTCCTTCTCTGCTAGCTCTCTTATTTTCCGAGGGATTGTATCGTTTTTGGCCGTCGGTTCGAGAGGGGCCATGGTAATGGACTGTCTGGAGGTGAGACAGCTGCACACGGTTATTGCGGGATGATTGAGAAATCGCCGATAGTTCTAGAAAGAGTTGGTTCAGAAAATAAAATGAAACAGTTATAAAACAGAAACAAATTCAGAAAAGTCAGTTTAATTCACAATTACCCTGTGCTCCGCGCGTGCTTGTCATAAAATCTGAAGTGACCGTGAAATTTCGATTCTTGTAAAATGAGCTCATCTGCGTTTAAAATTTTTTTCGTTCGAAGATTGCGCGGAGCTATATGTTTGCCTTTTTTGTATCTAAACTTTTATAAATTTTCGCTTTCAGAAATTTTTTGAAGATACGGAAAACCAGAGAATTATTTAGAATATGAAAGACACTGCTCCACATAAAAATTATATATATATCTGCGATTTTTTGAAAGGTTCTGATAATATTTTTTGTTGTCAAAAGATGGTAATTTGAAGGAAATGGTATCATGAGAAATTCAAGATTCTGAAATCGGCATTATCCGACGTTACCAACATGTTTGATTAGACTTACTAGGGAACTACTCGGACTCGGGTACGGGTTTCGAGTTCAAACTTTAGTGGTTAATAGACCCAAGTCAAAATACTTGAAAACCAGAGAGAATATCTGCTAAACCCCATAGGCTTCTGAGAAAAAAACTTAGTAGAAAATGTGAAATTAAGCATGAAAAATTTTTTTAGAATACTGTTTTTTACCTTATTTTATATTTTTAATACAGTCGCGTTGAATAATCCGGCTATGATACATTCTAAAAAACTTTTTTCCAGCCAAAAGAAGGAGAAAAGCAGAAATTGGATAATTTTCAAGCCAAAACTGTTCATTTTTAAAAAGCTTTTTCTCAGAAGCCTATGGGGTTTAGCAGATAACCTCTCTTGTTTCCAAGTACTCTTACCCGGGTCTATAAGCCACCAAAGTTTCAACTCGAAACGCGTACCCGAATAGTTCTCTAGTTAGTAAAGCCTTCGCACGGAGGCGGACCGCGCATGGCGAAAAGCCGACTCTGGCTCGCTACGAAAAAACTGAGCCACAGCGAAAAGTTCGTCAAATAAGTTACGTAATTACCAGAAGTATTTTTTTTGTGCTTTTTGCACCCCACAAAGTTATTTCTATATGAGATTGCCCGTGTCAGAATTGGCCCCCGTTTTGTACTGCGGGGGCCTTTCTAGAATACAGATTCGTCTCTTATTTATAAATGTCTATTTCTCTTTGTGACCGCCGACCTGTCTTTCCAAGCTTTTCTAAATCAAAGTTAACGCTACCTCTCCGGGGCTAAAACTTGAATTATTTTGGTTAAAAATTATTTTCTTCCCTAATTTTTCGAAAATTTTGTGAGCCAATCCCTCCTTCAAAGCTGAATGAGTTATGAACTTCATGTTTCTCAGCAATTCTAGCAAGTCCATATAATGACTTTATGTTTTGGTTTTCCATTGAACTCAGATCCCTCTACATCTAACCCTTAACCAATCTATAGCAGAGAAAATTTTTTGAAAAGTTTGAAACTTATAATTTAATTGAAAGAGCCTCCCAACTCTTCAAATTCTCTATTTTTAAAGGTAATAAAAATGCTTTTATCAAACGAAAACAAACTGAGGAGTCATTGACGATGTCCGCGACTACTGGGTGTTCGGCTGGCAGGCGACTGGTCGCCACGGTTCCGATTTTGCGGGCTCGCGTGCTTCTGCGTCAACGAGTGATTCACCTCGATCAGCACTAAGTATCCCGATGCAAAATCTGATGGAAAAAAAACTCACTGGTTCTAAGGGTCATCGTCGGCTTCCACCAATCTTTCCTCAGGAAGCGGAAATTCGCCTGAAAACTTTTTCCTGAGTTATAACTCGGGCAAACTTGAAATGGTGGATAATAGCCGCTAAAAGTGTGAGGCTCGAAAAAGGGCGCAAAAAGACAGCAAAAATTTTTATCGAGCCAACTTTTGTCCTCTAAAAGAAACATTCTTATGAAGTCTTTTTCGACCCTTTCTTACATTGCCTGTGATAATAATTATTAGAATAATGGGGAAAGTCAGAAAGGGTCGTAAAAGTCTCCATAGATACGTTGGTTTTAGTCACTAGGGAACTACTCGGGTTCGTCTCGGCACGCGGACAGAGTTGAATCTTTGGTGGCTAATAGTAAGAGTACTAGGAAACAAGAGAGATTATCTGCTAAACCTATAGGCTTCTAAGAAAAAGCTTCTCAAATAAATCCCGAAAGAGTCTTGTACGCGCCTAGACCCTCCTCCCACACCCAGGTGGCCTGGCGCAGTGGCTTGAGGACTGGTGTCATGACTAAATTTTTTGAGTAGGTTCAGACTCTGTTGGATGAAAAACTCTCTTGCATTTTCCTTGAAGACGAAAAGCTCTTTAGAAATTATAAAATTGAAAACGTTTTCCTCTTGATACAATTGCTCCATAGAAAAAAAAAAATCAAAGTCATTTTCACTGAAACACCTCGTAAACGACTTATTATATTGATAAAACTTTCAAACCTTTTCGAGTTTCTTACTTTTAAAAAGAACTTTATCTTGAAGAAAAATGCAAAAAAGAGTTGCACTTGACAGGAATCGAACCTATTCAGAAAAGTCAATCGTGAGACTGGCCCTTTAACCGCTGCGCCAAGCCACCTCGGGGAGAGAGGAAAGCCCTTTCTTCTTGGATTTCTTTGAGCAGCTTCTCCTAAAAAAGTTTTTAGCAGATAATCTCTCTTGTCTCTAAGATCTCTTAGGCAGGTCTGGAATCCACCGTAGTTTCAACTTGATACGATTCCTCGAGCCCGAGAAGTTCCCTAGTCAGCAGCTTTCAAAAGAAGTTTTTTTCGTCAGGATTCGCGTTTACAACCCAATTTCATCTGAGTGCGTTTACATATGGCATGTGATGCTTCAAAAATCGTTCGTAAAAATATAGAAGCATACATACTCTTCATGCACAGAAATAACCAACATTATGATTTTTCGGCTTGGTCAGTTCAACGGTGGGCGGTTCGAAGGGAAATCTTTGTGGTACCCGCACCGTCATCACATATTCAACCGACGGCGTAGTATACTGCAAAAGAAGCGACTCCCGGTTGCGTCGTCATTTACCGTAGTCATCGCAACGTCAAAGCAGTTTTTGGTCGGAATAGGCTCCTTCAAAATTGTATAGAAGCTGCTCTTCATGTCGACAACGTCACGCTGAATTCCATGCATATTCGAGGAAATTTTTCATTGAAAAACAGTTAAACAAGTTCAAGGCGGTACCAAAAGCCAAATGCGACTTATAAAAAAAAACTAACCACAACATTTTTTCGACGAGCTACGACGGCTACATGTGGCGCCGACGGCTGTGTAGACACTGTTGCTTGCATTTCACAGAAAATGAGGACTTTCACGGCATTCTATTTTGCTTCAAACTTGATTTACCGCCTAGAAGGGATCACGTGTAGTAAGCAATGCTTCGTTGCAATTTTTTTTTGTTCATTTTTCTAACTAGGAAACGTTTTTCACCCTCTGGTTGAACTTTTTATGAAGCTTCGCTGAAATGTACTTGAGGATCTCCTGATTGCAGAGCAAAAAAAAATGTTACGTTATGGATCTCGTTTTCGAGTTAAGACGCTTCAAAAGCTTGAAATAGCGTTTTTTTTGTCATAATTTGCATATTTTGGGGACTTCAAAGCTTCATAACTCGAAAAAAAAGACCTACTGCGAGGAATTTTTTGTTGTTCTGCAATCAGGAGAGCAGCCGGATCTAGTATCTAGATTTAGGGCACCTTGAGGTATCGTTTTGGAGGAAAACATTTAGAAAACAAAAAAACAGTTTCAATTTCCGCCAAAAGCGTGTTTTGCAGTAAAACTGCTCTATAGACGAAACTGTCATTTGCCCTTTCCTTCGTTTCTTCAAAATTAAAGTTATCTCTGTTTTTCCTGAATACTATCCAAAAATAAAAAAAACTAGAATTTTCGAGAGTTTTTGCAAACATGTACGATAACTTTTGATACCAGATACAAATTTAGCGTGAGAAGATGCCTCTTATGATCTCATTCTCATTCAGAATCTATAGAGTTTACTTTTCTGCTTTTCCATTGTTTTTGCCGTGTTGGCTACTGATAACGACGAGGAAGAGCAATGGATCGGCGTGGCGGCTGACAATAAGTTGCAAAGCATTATTATGGCATTAATGGGGGCAAAGTCTTGAATGTATTTGCAACATTTGGAGGCTTATCAGCATTGAACTCATATCAAAAGACTGAATAAACTATCGAGTTCGGTTAGAATTCATGAAGAAAAAAAAATATATATAAACGCGTATGTTATAATCAGCTTCGGATTAAGATTACAAAGACGATTAAAGATCAATGAGATTTCGAAAAATTAACCACTATCATTATCTTCGTAAAAACCCTTGAAAAAAATCTTTATTTCATGTCAATTATCTAACTTCCTAGTCAAAAAACTATATCTTTTCTCAGGCTCTCTCTCTCTTTTTCGAATCGGTGCTACGACAAGAGCGAGTTTTCCATTTGCGAGCAGTACTGTATGCGGCAAAGCGCATTGCGTGCATGCCCTCTGCGTGTTTACACTTTTGTGGCGTGACTTCATCGCGCCGTCCATCTGCGGGTTTTTTTTTTCGGATTTTTTTTCTTTGAATTTTTTTTCTGGTTTGGTTTTGATTGTGCGAATATTTTCGAAACAAAAAGAAAACTTCTTTTTTACCTCATAAGAAGGCTCCTTTTTGTCATCAAAAAATCTTCGTGTTCTTCTTCTTCTCCTCATATTTTTTTTTTCTCGTTCAGATTTTGAAATGAAAAAAAGTGATGCTATGAATGAAATTCAGGATGGAAAGTGACGATTATGTTAAAGCCATTGTTTTCGACCCAATTTTAAAGCAACAAGAAAACGCAAAAGAAGTTTTGGCGAAAAAAGGTGTCCCTGCTCCTCCACCCTCAACACTGGCATTGTACAAGAATCCGATTTCCGTAAAATTTCTGAAAACTCCCTTCAAATCTCTCAATGTACATTTAAAAAATCTTGCAGACTTTCTGGGAAAATGACTTTTGTTTGATATGATGCTTCTGTAAAAATTGTTATTTTCTTATTCTCTTATTTTTTGGTATCACGTTTCAATTACTGGTGTTTGTTATGATGCAATTGTTTGATATCTTCCTCTTTCAAATATCAATATAAGCTTACTTCTTTTTTTTTCTATATTTGTGAAGTTGACCTATCTATAAAGAAGAATTTTCCTAAGCTGCCCCCTTGACAAACAGAGTTTTCATCAATTAAAAAAAAGTTTTTCTTTTTTTGTTTCGAAAGTTAAATAAACCGGAAAAAAATTTTTAAAGAAAAAAATCCGAAAAACCAAAAAAACCCGCAAACAAAAAACCCGCAGATGTACGGCGCGATGACGTCACGCCACAAAAAGTGTAAACACGCAGAGTGCATGCACGCAATGCGCTTTGCCGCATACAGTACTGCTCGCAAATGGAAAACTCGCTCTTGTCGTAGCACCTTCGAATCTCTCATTATCTCGTAATTTTCTTTTAATCGGAATATGCTTTTATTTATAAAAAGTTAAAAAAAAATGAAAAACGTCTTCCAATTTTTTTAAAAGTTGTTCAGATCATTTCATATAAAAACTTTTGAGGTTTTTTGCAACCTCAAAGTGAGTTTGAAGACATTTCGTTTCTAGTTGGCTTGCCAAACTTAAGAAAGAAGAGAGCTTCTAACAGCTAGTTAGATGCTTTTTTATTGAGCCGCGCTTCAAAAATCGTTTTAAGTGATAGATGAACTTACCTAACCTATACATAGATTGTTTGAAGGCCCCGGCATCTTTTTATCTTCTTTTTTTTCGAAAGAAAAAGTCGATAAGGAGGACCAAGCAAAGAGGTCGAACTAAACACCAGCCGCAGTCCCGCGGCGGTCCCTCTCTTTGAAGTGCGGCGACAAAGACGATCATTCACATCACACGTGTCTTTTGGCTGTCGAAATGGCCGCCGCCGCCGGCACTTGAGTCGAGAAGATTTTGCACCCCTGGAACTCGAGTCGATCGTTTTTTTTTTTCACTTTTTGAAAATGTTTATATTTGACTTTTTTCTATATTTTTCAGCTCAAAACTAACTCATTATCAACTTTTAACTTTCGTCCTTTTTTCAAGTAATGGGAAAAAAATTCTGTCCGCCTCGATTTTTTTATGGTCTAAACGGGGATTTTTGAAACATTTGGATGGAGAAAAAGAGACTCGAAACAGGAAAAAAATAAACCTTTTTCGGAGTAATTTTGAAAGGTTGGAAATTTCAAACCAGTTGCTCAAAAAAGAACGCGAAGATTTCTGAAAAAATCTTTGTATAAACTACTCTGCTTTTTGGTAATAATAAAACCCTAAAAAAACCCTCTGTTTCAATCTTTTTTGAAACATCCTTAGGAATCGACGCTTCGAAATTCATTTATTTATTGGAGAAAATTTTTTCAAAAGAATTTTTTTTTCGATTAGGACTTGACGACTGTTGATTCTCCTTTTAAGAAGCTTGTTGTATTCTCCGAATCAAGAATTTTTGATTTAAAGGTACATAATCCTTTTATCTCTAGCCGATCATCCTCACACCAACATTTCGGCGCTATCTCGGCTCCCTGCGACTTGGCGGCGCCGTTTTTTGTCATTTCTCCCCACCGGAAGCCTATTCAATCGCTTTATGAATTCGTTTTCCATAGTCAATGTTCCTTTTTTGTGTTGCCCTCATAACTTCTTTGAAAAAAAGTAATATTGACTGAATGACTGTTGTTCGTTGTTATCAAGAACTAATTGGAACAAAATAAAAAGTAAAACACCTACTCTTTTGATTAATTTTTTTGAAATTTTTTTAAAATTTTTAATTTGCAAGCCATTTCAAGCTTTCTCGACATCCGGCTTCTTTTTTTTTCTCCTTGAAGCCAACCACTTTGCTTTATCACCTTTTTTCCCTCAGTTGCGCCGAACCGTTCTGCAATCCCAGGCCGGACCCGAACGGATGTCTGCGCTTGAAGTGGGACTTCTCATCCACTCGAACAAGCACAACAGATTGGCATCTCCTTGTCCTTTTTCTCACACTAAACAAACTTTTATCCGGCTAATAACTTTCTTTACAATGTGTTGTGACAAATTTATCAAAAATAAATGCAAATCACGTTCGATTTTTTAGTTCATCGCAGCCTTGCTTTAAAAAACTTTTTTTTCAAACATTCATACTTTTAAAACCTTTTTGGAACTTTAGCACATCCAGGCACACACATTCAGCACATTCTGTTGAACCGCTTCAAAACTTTTTCTCGAGGCTAACATTTTCAAAAAAATTTTCAAAGCTACTCTACAGCCTTTATTGTTTTCTAAAGCTTTTTTTAGGAACGAGAAGGTCCGAAAACAGTTTCTAGATCGGTTTCAGGAGTCATTAGTAAGGAAAAACCAAAGTTACATCGGCTTCTTGAAAAGTTAAAAAGCGCCGGCGCTTATCTGCGTTTTTCGCGGCGGGACTCGATTAGAGGCAGTCGGCCGGCCCTTTGAAGTTTTTCCTCTTCCTCCAGTCTTCTCGTTGTTTACTATGAAGATGACCGTAACTATTCAGCTCTACCTTTTGAGGTTATTTCAAGCTAATTTTAACTTATATTCAATGCTTATTCTATTCATGCTTAATGCTGTTATTAAGGTTTTTTTTTTCTTACTATCCTCGTATATATTTTTCCACGCACGCTTGCTATTAGTAATTAAATCAGTTCTCGACACTTTTATCGCTCATTTTGATTATCCAACTGCTCTCTTTGCTCATTTCAAACTCCATTATCCTCCAGATCGAAGCAGAAAGGCTACTTTCAAACCACTTTTTCACTCACAGTGTTCTGCTACTCATACGAGTGATCCTCTTTTTTCTGAGTTAAAGTTTCTCTGTTTGAACTTCTCTTTTTTTTTGCTTAATTATTGCTCATGTTAGCTGAGGCAGATGATCGGCGTTTTCTGCGCCCGACCAACAGCGATTTGTCACTATTCGAGCCTCGCGGAGCATTCTGACAAATTGACTGCGCACGAGACGTCCCGAGTACCATAAATTGGGCCCCTGGGCGTCGTTTTGTCTTGTTCCTCTTCTTATAGTCCGCCTCCACTCTGATTTTACCGATTTTTTTTCTTTCCAGTTCAATACGACATTGAATTTCAGGACATCAAATGGCAATGGTTTCGGAAAAGCTACTAAAATTTTTGATTTCAAGCTGATTTTCTTTTCAATTATTTGCGAACTGAAATTTATATATTTCATTCTTCTTAATTATTGGGTCAGTGCGTGAATATCGAGTATACTTTCATTTTTTTTTTCTTTTTTCTCTCTAAAGTAAAAGACTCACATCTTTTTATGTATTCTCCATCTGTATCCGATGATTTTCTAAGCATGATCCGGCCTGCTGAAATCAGCTTTTATCCCTGATAAATAAGATTAATCCCCTCTGCTTTTTTTCGTGGATGGAAGATAAAAAAGTATTACATAAACTGCTACAACTACAGCTTTTGAAAGATAGCTGGGGAGAGCTACATTTTTTGGAAAAAACTATTATTTTCAATTCATATTCTCCTCAAAAATAGAATTTGTGAGTGAACTTGGAAAATTTTATTTTTCAACCTCCAAACTTCGAATCCGCCCGTCCATTTTTCACTCTGAGGGAGCGAACTTTTTCCGGAATTTATTTCTGTTAAAAAAACTCAAATTCCCATCCTAAAAACAAGGTTTAGAAGATCCTTTATGTGCGCGAAACCGACAGTTACCGACGCTTTTCTTTCCGCCTTTTTTTTTTTTTGAACTTGCCGCCAGTGTCGGCGTTCCTCTCCACTCTCACAGAACCTTCACACATGTTCGTCGCCCTCTTTTATCTACTCAAACTAACGCCCTCCCATATTTTTCTCTCTTCTTTCATTTTACCAGCTTTTTTTTCCTTTATGGGTGACCCCTGTTCGTCTGCTATTTGTACTTTTTAATGAAAATTTCATAATTTCTTTTTTTCAATAATAACAATAAATCATTGACAGATCATTGTGAGACCTAATGTATTCACTTTTACATAAAATTTAAGAAAACACATTACCTTCCTTTTATTTTTTTTTTCAACCATAAATATTCTTCGGTGAACGAGGCTAGGTTCAATAGATGCAGTTTTCACTCTGAGTCAGAGATTAAGCCCGAAAATTGGCACAAAAGTCTGTAATGAATAAAACTCGCGTAAATAAAGTAGAAATAAAAAAGCGGCTGCCAAACCAGTGAAAATCAAATTTTGATTTAAAGTTTTCGAAAAGTTTTTCATTCTATTTTATTGGACCTCACGGGCGAGTTAGAGCACAAGAAACAGCAGCTTATGAATCTGCTCTTATTGAAAAGAGGAATGGAGATTTTAGAAGAACTCTTAGAAAAAAAAAGTATATTATGAACCTACTTATCCATTTGTTTCGCTTTGAACTTTTTGGAACTGTTTGTTGGGAAAAAGGAACATACACAAGTGCTCCAAGGGAGGAAAGCGCGCGACGGCAGCTGGTTGTCTGCGCGACATCATATGCGACATCTGGCGCTTCTTCTCTGAAATCATCCCGTTTTCCACCAACAAAACCATTCGTCAAACATCTCGCCTTTCTTCTTCGCATTATAGTATTCTTTACTCAAAAAAAAACAACTTTTATTTTTCATGTTCCATTCGGACGACTTGAAACAGTTTGGCCTGATTGGGACGCTTAGAGGCGTGACATTTTTCTGCGCTCTCCATAAGTCAGACGCTGTCTCTTTTTTATCGTGCCAGGACTTTTTTTTCGATGGCTCAAAGCCAGCCACATCTTTCCTTTTAACGGCGAGGCCTATGGGAAAATGAAATGAGCAAGTGAAAATGAGGATATAGAGAGCGTGCAAAGCATTATTATTTCAAGTCCTGGCTAACAGATTATGATTTCCTTGTCCAACTCTGATTTTTCGAAGCTCTCTATCGATAGTCTACATCAGTAAATATCCACAAATCTGAAGACTGTCAATAGGGCGTGGTTCAAGTGTGAGCGTGGCCCTGTTGACACAAATCGTTCAGTTTTCCACTTGTTTCAACAGTTTCTTCTCTTTTATTATCATTTTTTGCATTTTTTTTTTCTTACTGGCTGACTTTAGACCTAAATGATGAGGATGGAGGAGTTGAGATCGATTTTAACAAGTTCCGTCGAAGCGGTACTCAACGACGCCGCCGCCTTTGCAGTCTTCACTCAATGGATGGCTCAGGTTTATTTTTTTTTATGTTTTGCAGCTAAGAAAGGTTCCTGAAAATAACGATAATTATGAAAAAGAACAATTTCTGCTCAAAAATTCGAACCTTGACGTGTTTCAGGACGAAAAACGGCACGTCGAAGCGGCGCATCTGCACGCCGCCGTACAAGACTTCCGTCAGAAGTCGTCGGTCCACGTCGGGACCGGCGTCGTCAAACTCGCGCGCTCGATTCACCGCAAGTTTGTGAGCCTTCAAACGGGAGCCTGCCGCGTCCTGCCGAACGAAGTCCGTCAGGAGATGTCCCAGCGAGTCCATGAAGTCATCGATGGTCGACCGCCTTATTTGGAGCTGTTCGATCCGCTGATGATCCCTTTGATGAAGCATTTCCGCTGTATACACACACAGTTCGTCTGCTCCGAGGCGTTTTTCTCGGTGAGCTTTAAAAAGAACTTTCTCTTTTCTTTCAGCTTCGTCTTTTTTTGGTCTATTTTCTATTTAAAGTCAGTTAATAATTTAGAAAATATCAATAGAAATAAATTTTCGGGTTTCGGGGCCTAGTTTTGACCCCCGCTTATACGTACTAAATTTCGAATAAAATCAGAATTTAAAAAAATTAAAATTTTTAAACTTTTAGCACCTAAACCAAAGGACCAACGCCACGTCGACACCAAAACCGAAAACGCGCAAAAATCAGAAGTTCGTGAAAATATTGATTATTAATGGAAAACTCCATCTTCTTCTCCAAAAAAAAAAATAAAAAATAATAATAATTTACAGCGTTCGAGACCGCAGTTCAACTGAAGCTACAAAACGAAGCGCCGTTTCTGTTGATGTTTTCTCGGTATTCCCAACGATTCATTCAGTTGAAAGAACAAAACGACTGAAAAATAGCTAATTTCTTTCTACTCTAATCCAAAAATTTCCAAAAACAAAGGGACGTTCATCACTTTTCTCTCTTGATCTTTTGATAGATTTATAATTTTTGGTTCAAAAATGAGAACCAAATTTGATTTCTTCACGTCAATTTTTCACTTGAACAACTTTTTTAAATACTTATCAAAACGAAAAGAAAATCAAAAATATCATTATTCTAGTGATAAAAAAATTACCATGCTCTTTTCAGACAAGCGATGGCGGAATAAGACATGAAACCGAAGAAGCGCGAAAAGCTTTCGTCGATGTTTTATGCAATAAATTGGCCGATATTAATCCGAGGCTTACAGGGTGACTTTTTTTTCATATAAATCGTCATAATTTATTAAATGATAGATGAAACTCTGAGAAATTCTTTGAGTGGCTGCCAGTAGAATATCAAGCTTTTCACGACGAAAAGTCTTTTTTTTGCTTATTTTTTTCACTCAGAGTTCAACAGACGCTATGATTTAACAAATAAAAAAATAGGAGACCCTAACATAAACCCCTATTAAACTTTTTGTCACATTCTACACTTTCAGACTTGAATCAGAAATGGAAGAAGAAGAAGACGAAATGAAAAAAACTGAAAGCAGTGACGACGACGTTGACAATTACGTGGACAAAATAATGTTTGAAGAGTCTTCTTCTCGTCAGTTTATTTTCATTATTCAACTTTTTTGACTTCCTGAAAAGTTTTTTTTCTCTGTCAATTCGCCTTCTAGAAACTTTCAGGCACTTAAAAATTCCTTTTAAAATGTTCCAGGTAGTTGATTGATTAATTTTAAAGGAATGCACCACGAAATCGACGAAGAATGTACCGTAAACAGTCCCTACGGTATTGACGCGTTTGCCCCGCCTCCAGCCAACAAACATCGGTTTGTGAATTTTTTTTTCCCTTTAAATGTTTGATAGTTGCAAATGATTGCTTTTTTCAGCTACAACTTTGAATCGGCACCTGTCCCGTCGCAATATGGAACTACTCACAGGTTTTTTTTAACCCTTTTCAAATCCCTTTTTTTTCGAACCCTTTCTTAAAAAGTTGAACAATTTTCACGCATTCTCTGAGAGAACCGATAACTCTCACTAATAAAAAGCACAATTAGAAAAACATTTTTTTCGCTTTGAATTATGATAACAGCTTTCTAGACTGCGTCGTTTTTTTTTCCGTTCTGTTTGCAAATATCTCCGTTTTCTAATCCTTCTTTCGGGTGATACTCAAAAGGGGTAATTTTCTCATGATATATTTGATAGATGAAGTATTTCTGGCCTGGTCCGGGAAAATCTCATCAAGTTGACCTCTGAAAGTGAAAAAAACTTCTATGCTACATTTGTAACACGATAACTATGCTTTTCGGATGACGCTTTCGTTAATTTCGTCACTATTGTTACTAAATCCTCTAGCGAGATCTTCATAATGACCGAAAAAATTTTTTTTTTTTGAATTTTGACCTGATCCAAGTTCATCAAATGGATATCATATATTCTTCATATAGATTAATTATAAACCTCCCAGAAAGGGCTCTTTTTCGAATTACCGCCCGAAAACTGAAAAAATACTTTATCTAGGGGATAATCGATCTTTTCTCCAGGAATAAGTGGTTAAGAAAAAGTTAGCATTGAAAAATTACTGGAAAGAACGTTTTCTTGAATTTTAAGACCTAGTCTCAAAAAAGGTCTTACTGCAACAGTATTAGAAGCACTCGTACGATCTTGGATCATTATTTGAGACCGAAGAGATTTGCTTCAGATTCACCGAGTTTCTCAGATAAAGCGTGTTCAATTGTTAGAGAACTTCTGATGATGAAGGAGAAATTTTATTTCTAGAGATAAATCTCACCGAGGAATGGCATCGGACTCGAGCGGATTTTGCAGTGGCGCTAGCGATTTCATGGCCTTCGACCATTCGATCTCTTCCTCTAGTTCGTTCTTTTTGTTACCTGAAAATTTCGAAAACTTGTTATGAAAATTTTAAATCAAAAAAAAAAAATGATTTCAAAAAATCGGATTAAGTAATTACTATCGGAAATTTTTGTTTACCGGTGTTCTTGGTGTATAAACCTTTGTTATTTAGGATACGGTGGCTGCTCATCAAACAACACGTTGGCACGTTCGAATCACAGAAATATTCATCTTCAACCCAACGGCTTCTCCACGCTTCCGAAGTTTGTCTTTTTCATCCTGTTTGCTGAAACTATTCCAAAAATGACAAATTTTGAGGAAATTATTTGTGAGAGCGGAAATCGGAGAATCTCACAGATTTCAGAAATTTTAAAACAAAATGTTTATTTCACTTGAAATTTTGGAATTGCACATAGATCGGGTTTCAAGATTACTAACCACTCTTGCAAAATTTTGATCAAAACGCACGGCGTTTTTTTTAGTACAGAAGGTTCCGTGAAATATGGTGTTTAGGTTGTAAGCACACAGAGACGCCCTATCGCATACTCCAAAATTTTTTTCGATTCCAAAACTTAGAATTTCAAGATAATAGCTTCTAAAACACACACGAAATCATCTCCATTTTGAAAATATGATCTTGAAAAAACATTTCAACACGCTAAAAATATATAGCAGTGTAAAAGGGAAAACTAAAAATGCTTACTTCAAAAGAAAAACAAAAAAGGTTGTTCTGATAGGTTTCCTCGCGTCAGAAAATCGATAAAATCATGAAAAATTTCAGAAAGAGCAGGATTTTGAGAGAGATGTTTAATGGCGTGTTCATCAGAAAAAACGGAACATGCTTCGAAACGAAAAATCGTTCATCGGCGCGCCAAAGTTGCTCCAAAACAGTAGTAATTTTTGTTTTGGAGCAATTTTCTTGCGTTTCGAAGCAATTTTCGTTTTGTCCGATGAAGACGCCACAATATAGTTCGAAAAACTGTCAAAAAACACGGCGTTTCCAGAACTATGTCTGCCCGTAAGATATGATGTTTTTTGTGCATGCACCCCCGACAAAATTTAACATACTTCCGAAATTTTCAAAAATATTTCTGCAGGCAAAAAATGGAATTAGGATAAAATGGTTGAACAGTTTTTGATTGAATTATCTTCAATATCAAAACGGGAAATACTCAAAAAATCAACTTTTTATTGAATTAAGTTTCAAATAACGTTAATAAATTTTATATAAAAAACCTAACTGCGTGGAAACGCCGTGGTAATTTAGATTACATAAAATAAAACTTTTAACCGCCATTTCCGATCCAATTTGACTCCAATTAAACGAAACAGGTTTTACTCTACGTGAAAGTAACTGAATAAAAACAATAATCTTACAAAAAAAGTCAAGCAAGAGAATTAATAATTAAAAAAAAGCTAAACAAAATCATATTTTTTTGAATCTATTTTTTTGAATCCGGTTTGTGAGTCTGTCATCAGGGAACGGCTCCTGCACAGACCAAAACTACAGTAATCGTACGATTTACGGCGCCCCCTGGTCTTTTTTTCTGTATTTCACTGCCAAGAAAAGTAACGGCAAAATCAATAATATTTCTAGTTTAGAATTTTGAAAAATCGCAAAAAAATTGCCGAAAAAGTCGGTTGCCGCAGACCCCTGACCTAAATTCTCTTTTTCTTATTGCGACAATTCCAGCCGCCGCCGCGAGACCCCTTCAGTGGTGTCTCAGGGTTCGGAGACCTTGACGGTGGAGGTTCGGGACGAAGAAGGCGTTCCGATGGTCGCCAAGTTGCCGGCGTCTCAGCGACATCTCACCTTCCGCTCTTTCCGTCGGCTTTTCGGCATCGCCGACCCTGACCAAATGCGGTCAGAATACCTAGAGCTTGATCAATATTCAAAGTGAAAAAGACTCACAACTTTGAAAAGCCGATGTAGTTTCATAAAAACTGAACAATTTTACAGATTTCGTAGATATTTTTCCAAAGCATGGCTATGAAAGTATTTAAGAAAAAAATCGCGATAACTGTTGAATATTTGAAGCTTTTCAGGTTTTTCTTCAAAAGCGTGTGTGAAGACGGAACTGCCGCCTATCAATGGACTCTAGTTTGGGACGATGACGTCATCCTACCCGTTTTCCAAGGGAAAATCAGTGGCATTTGTAAAACGTGCCCCGTAGAGAACTAAATGAACAGAAATTCTACACAAAATAATTTTAAAAAAAAGAGATTTTGATTAAGCTGATACCAAAATAATTATGCGGAGCACTGATGATCACTTCAATATACAAATAAAAAGACAATCTCACCCGTACTCTTTTGTCATAATAACTTTTTGTCTGTTTTCGAGCGATTTCGTTCTTTTCGTGCCTTTTCTCCCATTTTATTCCATGCAGGGTATATGTTTTCGTAATCGTGTAATAAAATTCTTAAACCAAATCGTACCAAAACCATTTCTGAATATTCCGTAAAACTTTGAAAAAGTTTTATGAGAGAAATACGTAAAGTTGAGCAGAAAAAAAAACGTACACAAATATATATGGCAAGCAGGATGCAAATAAAAAAAAGTTCACGGTAAAAAACAACTAATTTGGAAAGTTTTTGCAAAATGAGCCTATGCTCTTTTAACAACAAGCAGGAGAAGCATTAACAGAAAAACCTTTTCCAAAAAAGTGAAATTTGGATGCATAATAATTGGGTTTGTAAAGCGTCATACTTAAATGAATCAATCTCACAAGCACAGAAACTATTTCGGATTTAATTTGTGGGGTCTTTTTTCAAAAAAACTGCCATGAACTATTTTAAAAAAACTTACATTATCTAAATAGTCAAAATTAAAAAAAGCCTTTTCAAAAATTTTTTTCAAAAAAATAATAATTAATAAAGACCTTTTTCACTGAGATGTCAATTGGAACGTTGGATACTTCGAGGAAAGTGCGGAACGGAATTACATTAAAATACGCTTCGTCGAATCATTTTCTTTTTTCAATCCATTTCTAGCGCACTTGTAATGGAATTTAAGAAAAATCGAAAAATGTACATTATGAATAAATATTCGGAAAAATTGCTCAAGAAACTTCTCGTTCGTCTTGTTTCGGGTAAGTTGCTGGGAAAGATTTCTGAAAAGTTTAAGTCATTAATAAATCAAATTTGTGAAAAAAAAGTATTAAACTACCGCGGGAACTTTTTCGCCATTGACCAGAACTTCAGACCCGCCGTAGGACATCCTGAAAATTTTTTTTTCCTGGTTTTCAAAAATCTGACGGTATATCGGTTGCATCTATTTTACTCCAAATATAAATGGCTAGAAGATCTTGAGGAAAAAAAAGAGGATGAGCAGAATAGCGAGAAGAATATTTCAAGAAATTCTCGTAAAAAGAGAGAAAAAACGCACAAATGAACTTGAGAATTGGTGTAAGAAGATGAGGCGTTCTCAATGTGAACGAGAGAATCATCACTCAGCTTCATTTGGCCTTGCTTGTGGCGTCGTCGACGTTGCGAAAGCTGCAAACTCTTTCTTTTCAACGAAATTTAAAAATTAACAAAACTCAATGTTCATAAAAAGTTTCTAAATTCAAAAGATTATTGAGAATCCACCACGTCCAAGTACAGATTGTACCAAAAAAAAAAATTATCATCCAACTGGTTCTTTTTATGAATAAGAACTCGTCTGAAAATCAATTTTACAACTTTAAAATCAACTATGCCACAGTAAAATTCATTTTTCGGAAATTTAATTAAGAATCTCACCGCGATGACGATCAACGCCATGACCAACAAGATGACGACGAAAGCGATTATGAAAGGCAAAATGAAGGAGGAAGATCCGTTCATAGTTGGATTGGCCAGGGAATCGATGTAAACCCTCGAGGTCAGGCCTAAACAATTTGAAAAATCATTGAAAAAAATTTAAAAATTTTTGACTGTTTGACAATGACAATCTAACAACTTTAAAAAATTTTCAAAAAAGATTCAAAGCGTCTAAAAAAAAGAGATCTCTGAAAAAGTACCATCGACCGTGACGCTGAGTGAATCAGCAATGTTATCTCCGATTTGCGAGTTGTTCTTGGCGATCGCGGCTTCCAATCTGAAATTCTTTTTTAAGAATTTAGGAGGAAAGTGCGGAATTCCATTAGAATTTTAGGTATAGTGGTGATAATGATTCGTGTAGTCCGCTTTGGATGAAGCGTCATTTTCGTTTTTCTTTGTTTTTTCTTTTGTTTTTTGTTTTTTCTTTCTTTTTATAATTTTTTTTTTCCATGAGAAATAACTCACTGATTGGCGACTTCCTGAGCGTCCAAGATTCCGCTCTTGGTGAGAATATCGGCGTGAACCACGACGCTCCCTTTCGTCAAGCCGACAACGTCGACGTCGAGCAGATTCTCTTGAAGGATTGGCGAAAGGAGTTCCAGGAGGCGTGGAACGACGATTCTCGCGAGTTTCCTTGACGGTCCGCTTTGAATGTCGGCGAAGACGTCGTTGAAATCGATTGAAGTGATTCGAATAGTCATTGGAGTTCGGGACGCCTTCGCTGGAGCAAACACCTGAGTTCAGAAATTTACTAAGGTTATTTTGACTTTGCCAAGGCTTTTGATAAGGTTAATCATTCTCTGCTTGTTCATAAGCTCAAGAACTTTGGTCTTGACGAAAACGTTGTTCGATGGTACAAAAACTTCTTATCTGAGCGTGTTTCTAATGTTCTGATCGATGGATCTCGTTCTTCTCTTACTTATCTCAATACTTCCGGTGTCCTTCAAGGAACTGTATCTGGTCCTTTGCTTTTTTTCTAATTTTTCATCAATGATATTGTTAACTACATTGACCATGAAACCTCAATCTCTCTGTTCGCTGATGATATAAAAAAATTTACAGTTCTAACCCTGAATCTCTCCAACGTAGTATTAATTCCATATTTGAATGGTCTTCCATTTGGGGCTTTGCCTCTTGCTGCGCACAAAACTTTTGCTATCAACCTTGGTCCCCTCAATCCCAAAAACAACTTATTTAATCAATGGTCTGTCTATTCCCAGAAAAAAACCATTATCCGTGATCTAGGTGTTCTTATCGATGATAAACTAACTCTCGCTCCTCACATTAACAATATCGTTTCTTTAGCAACCCTTCGTTCCAATCAGATACTCAACTGTTTTTCGTTCCAAATCACCTGATCTATTGTTCAAAAATTTTTTTAACACCTATGTAAGGCCTATTCTAGAATACTGCTCCGAAGTTTTTTTAACCCTCCCCTTAATTCTGATCTCTGCTACAAACTGGAATCTCCTCTCAGAATTTTTTTCTCGTAAAAATTTTTTTATTAGGTCCAACTTATCCTTTGAATCTTACTCTGATCGCCTTGAACAATTTGATATCTCTCCACTTTACCTCAGACGAGCTATATCTGACATTCTGACCCTTCATAAAATTGTCTTCGGTATCGATCATTTTTCCCCAGTTCGAACTTTTTTTGCCCTCAGGTCCAATTTAAGGCGAAATCCACTTCGACTGCGTTCTCAAGGTCAGTTTTCTAATGATTTTTTTCTTTAAAAACAATTCCTACTTGGAACAAACTCACTTCCAAATTTCAATTCAGCCACCACCCCAAGTCTTTAAAAAAATTTACTGGTCAATCTACCATTGCACGAGATCTTCTTGTTTATTCCTCCACGACTCAAATGATGTATAACTGTATAATGTATTCTCTCAAATTCTAGATCCAAGTGAACTCGTTAGGGTTCACGCTGATCTGTCAATAAATTATTATTATCAAAAGGTACTCAAGGAGTTCTCACTAATCACTCTGAGGAGAAAATTTTCAGGGTATCGTAATTTACGTTTAAAAAAAATTCTTAACTATTTCAGAGACTTCTAGAAAAAAAAGCGGTAATTAGTGAACTCGTCCAAGTCTAAAATAGTCCTTGCAAAACTTTGGAAATAGGGAAATGCGTTCAAAATGGTTTTGGGGAAACGAAAAATTGAAAAACGCGAAATCCAAATAGTTGGCCTGTTTTTTTTTTTCAAAATAATGTATAGGTGATTCAGGGCTGGCTTGAGCCATCGAAAAAAGAGTCCTGACACGATAATGCACGAGCCAGTGCCTGGATCGTGGAGAGCGCAGACAGGCCATGCCCCCTCAGCGTCCCAAGCTAGCCGTGAATCAGCTATAATTTTCTCTTGAATCAGGTAGATATGTTGATGGCTGCCCCGAACACACCTTTGAAGAATTGGCCAATACGTTCGAGTTGAGACCGCCCTTTTCATCTTCATGCTCCTCATCGGTCGCTTCCTCAGAAGCTTTCTCAGAAGACGTGTCGGCCATCGTTGTAGTAGTTTTTACGGTAGTCGTGGACGCTTCAGAAGCACCGACGTCAACGATTTTAGGTTCTTCAAATTCTTCCTCTTCTCTCTCTTGTGGTCCACTCGTCGTGGTTGTTTTCTTGGTCGCTTCTGGCTTCTGGAGCATCTTTATGTTGACGTCTTGGCCGATGATCTTCGGTTCCTCCTCGGTCATTTGTACGATCGGAAACGTTGGAGAGTTGGCGGACTGGAGGAAAAGTTATGAAATAATCGTTAGTAACAGTAAATAGTTGAACCATAGCGAGTGCAACCAGGTATGTATGAATCAACCGAAATAAAACTTACTGGAAGCAAAGAAGAGTCGATAAAGGAACCGTCGGCCTCGAATAAGCCGGCAGCAGCCGATTGATCGAACGGAGTGTCTTCTAAAATCCTTTTTTGCTCTTGAAAATCGCAGTTTGCGACCATTTATGAGATTATTTTGTGGAAATCATCTTTCTTTATTCAATTAAAATGCCCGAGCAACATTTAAAAATATAATTTTTGCAGAGCCCATTCCGCGCCAGCCTGTCACGTTCTTTTTCTGCCAAAAAGACCGTATTCCAATTTAGATCAAAGTCGACTTTGAGATCCAGCCAATTTATGGCCAAAACTCGAAAAGGAAACCTTGTAAAAAAAATTCACAGAAAGGAAAAACTGCAATAAAATTTTGCACAGAGCGGGGACCGAGCATATGACCTTATTTCCACGATTCCGCCGTCTAAGCCAGATCGCAATACTTATGTATGGCGGAGCTTTGAAAACCATATCTAGTCTTGAATGTTTTTGGAATAAAATTATTTTTTTATGTTGACAGATGAACGAGACCTTATAACCTCAAAAGAGCTCAAGAGGAGACACTGAAATTTTGGACTTCTGAGGGTCCACAACTTCTTTCACAGATCTCCTCGGCAGTTTTTGAGACCAGATTGAAAATCAGCGTGAAAAACTACATCTGGAATCCTTAAACTCATTCAGAAGTCCCATCGCGACCGAAGATTTTCCCGGTTAAAGACAAAATATTCCTTTTATTAGTTTTCCGACTTTAATGTCGCTCGCGTTGTATAATCAAATCGACTGCGCGAACCCCAAAAACTCTACTATTTCTTGCAGAACTGCCATGCGACCCAAAATCTTTCAAAAATTTACCAGAATCCTCCGTTTCAGAGGGGTCGCTGACGGCTGGCCTGCTGGGCGCTTCTGTTGGACGGTCTAAAAAAAAACCCTTGTCAAACTCGAAAAGTACTCTTAATCAAAACCGGTGACTTGTGGCGTGAATTTCTCGGCGCGAAGGATTGGAAGCGGGAGTTCTTCCTTTTCTTTCAGAACCCGTCGGTCCGCAACATCGTCGATCCCGATTTTCGTAGAGTTCTGAAAAAATGCCATTACCTTTTTTTTTCTCCCCCATCAGTTCAGCTCGATCGGTTTGACACACCTTGTTAGTTACATTGAATAGAAAAAAAAACGGTTGGGAATGGTCTAGTAAGGCCAACAGAAAACTGGCACAAAAACAGAAAAGTTTAATTTATTTAGAAGAGGATGGAGTTTGTAAAAACTAACGCGCAGTTTCATACTGCTCAAAGAGCGATCTATCGTAAGACTTTTCTCAAATTTAGTTCAAAATTTTCAGCTATTAATCTTAAGCGCAATGATTTCGATGAACATTTCAAAAAAAAAATGAGAAAAAAAAGAGTGAAGAAGATTTACAAGCCAAAAAGCCGTTTCAAGGAAAAACCCGTTTTATGAAAATTCGAAAAAAAGTTTCGGTTTAACTCTCAAAAACTAATTTTGAACATTTTGAGACGGGAAAATGAACCAAGCAGCTGCAAAAATATATAGCCTATTCCGTGCCAGATTATAACTTTTTTTCTTTCCGCCAAAAATACAGCATACCAAATTAGATCAAAAATGACGATTTTTCGCTTCGGAAGCTTTCTTTTTAGCAGTACTTTCCGAAAATTTGTAAAAGTTCCATAGTGAGTAAGGACCAGTTTTGCAGATAACTTTTTCTTCGAGAAGTTTGATCAGATTTTTAATGCCATAGTCATTATTTTGGATGAGGTCGACAAAAAAAACTTCACGAAGTTTTGCTCATGATGAACACTTTGTAAAGTAAGTTTTTCCATTTACCGTGAGCTCTCCCACGTTTTCGTCGATTTCAAGAACCGGGTCCTGCTCCTCCGAACGTTCTCCAACTACTGCTTCTGAGAAGATGGGCTCTGTTGAAGTTGACTCTTCCTGAATAACTTTTTGTAGTCCATTCCGCCCCAGCTTGTCACTTTTTTCTTTCCGCCAAAAATACCGTATACTAATTAATTGAAAATCGAGAATCTTCGCTTCAAGACCTTTCAATTTTCCCTGTCTTTTTAGCAGTTTTTCAGAGCACTATACTTATGGACAATTGGATAGTTCAATGTAATTTTTAAAGAAATACCTTTAACTCTGTCGTTGCGCTCGTAGATGCTATGATCTTTTGTACAGGAGCTGAAAACGTAAAATTCCAAAATCATCAAACATGCTTCAAAAAACCATTTTTAAAGGCACAACTTAAAAAGAAAATGAAACACTCTTCCGAATGTTTCAGGTTATCCCTGACTCACTATTCTCGTGCGAGATTTCCTCCTTCTCAATTTTCATGGAATTCTCAGTCGAGTTTGTTGAAGTTGACGTCATCTCCGGCAACGGTTTCATCGTCGTCGACTTTTCAATCATCTCCGTACTCGCTTGAAACGAATCCATTCTTAAAAAAACGAAGTGAAGGGAAAAATTGAAATTTTGTCATTATAAGATTCAAGATGGAATTAAGATAGCTTCTAGAAGCTTGTATCAAATTGCGGATTTCTGAAGAGCTTCCAAAACTTCAAAAGTCTTGCTCACTTGCCAAGGCTCCTATTTAATTCACTTATTCCCGTTTGAAGGGTTTATTCGTCATTCCACAATCTGCACGACAAGTTCAATAATTAAAACATCTGAACAATCGATTAAATCTGAAAGCTGATCCGTGGAGGAAAAGATTGTCTGAATAGACGGTGCTAACACTTATTTTGAATTAAAGTTTTTTCTTTGTTTTTCAAGTAGTTACAGTGTTTATACTGTTTAATTCTCTAATTCATTCATCTTTTGAGTAAGAATCATAGAGTTTAGATTTTAGTCGGATCAAGTGGTATACGATGTGTTTGATTCGAACCATGAGGTGAGCCTAATTTGAAACTTGCCGGCTTCTTATTCAATGATAGTTTCTCTCACCCGTTTGTTTCAAATGGGTCCATAATTCAGGAAGCGTTGTTTGATCCATTTATTTAATTTGTTTTTGCATTTTTCTATGAAAAATCTGCGTGATTCAGAAAGTTTTAAGCCGTCGTGGCAAATTTGGACCACGACCAAACAATAAGGTAAGTATTTCGATTGAACAAAAGGCTAATATTGAGATAAGGAATTCTTTCAGTGACGACTCCAGAAACACCATAAGGATCAAAGCTACGATTTCCCTGAACCTTACCCTTCGTTGACTTCTTCAGCTTGAACTGATTCATCTCCCGTTGAAGTTTCGATATCTTTGACTGGAGCCGCAAAAACGTCTTCGCTGTTTTCGTCTTGAGCGATTGCAACTAAATTTCATTCCTTTTTTTGGGGTTTGTATAAGAGTCAGAGTTCTGGAAAAGTGGACGAACTTTTTGGCTTGAAATTTATCGCTTCGAGCCATCAAGGCCTTTTCGAACCAAAACAATTTTATTTACATATTTGAAACTGAAGCGAAGAAAATATAGCTTTAAAATTGAAATGAATACTTTTTTTAAATCCACATTTCGGAACATCCCTAACTTAAAGTCCCTAACCTGAAAAGATGAGATTCCCCCGAACGAAGAAAAAAAAAACTTACGACCAACAAAAGCGAATAGTAAAATGAAGTGCAATCGCATTGCACACGCGCTCGTTTCTGAAAACTCTAATTTCTTTTTTTCGGAAAGTAAGAAAGAAGAATTACTTTTTTTATGCAAAAATGAGAAATGGAATAATGAAATACCATCAACGCGAAAAATTCCTGTCTTTTCAAACTTCAAATAAATTAACGAAAGCTCTTGTTTCAAGTGCATAGGCAAAGTCAGAGGGGTCGAAAAGGGCTCCATAGAAATTTTCATTTCAGGGTAACAAAGGCTCTTTTTTCTGTCCCTCCCTTTTAGCGGTCATTATCTACCATTCCAAATTTGCACGAGTAGCAATGATACAAATTTTGATTTTTTCTATGCTGTGAATGACGTTCAATTCATGTGGAGTAGATGACAGTGATGGGATCTTGGCTTTTTTCTTGGATGATTGGCCTTTTTTTGTGAAAACCATGAAAAAAATATTCCATGAAGAGTGAAACGAAAGTATGTATAACAAACAAGAAAAAGCCATAATTTTTGAATCAAAAAAAAAACCAAGCAAGTCCGAAAATATGCTCGAGAAATCGCAAACTTCACCTTTCAAGATTTTTTTGAGTCGAAAAAAAATATTTGAAAGTATAGAAAAAAGAAATAATGATCTTTAAGCTCGCTCTAGGGTCCAAAAAAGCCGTAAAAAGTTTATTCCGACTCTACTCTCTTGTTAAAACCGTGAATCAAAATCCATTTCACAAAAAAAAAAATTTGTTTCAAAACGAAGCAAATGAGTTATGAAATCGGAAAAAAATGAAGGGGAAGTCAGAATTGAACAAGAAAAACAGGAAAAAGAGGCGACCTTCAGGTCCGGAGACGACCGTATCAATACGAGATCTCAACGCGAAAATGGACACGAAATATGTCGTTTCGCCTTTTTTTTTTGGAGCGAAAGTTGAAAATTGCTATTCAAGGGAGACTTATTAAAAAACTTCTTTCAACTTTAAATTCACTTCGTTGTAGAGATACGTGGAGGGAAAAACGCTATGAAAATAACAAAAGGAAAAAAATGCCGATACTTTTTCGAATGGTACTTCCTTTTTTTCTTTCTGCAGGGAGAACCTTTTTTTTCGATTTGTTCGTTTTCCAAAATATACCGTGTAATTTTTCGTGCCTAGGCTTTCCTTTCTGCCCATGAATATTCCGAAAGTTTTCAGAACCCTTTTTACAAAAACTTTCATACGGTCAGGTATCAGAACTAATTTTGATGGGACTGTTCTCGATTTCTAGGTATCAATCAATTATTTATTCCGAATTGAAGTTCTTGTGAGCCGCTGGCCTTCCAAGCAAAAGTGTTTTTTTTTTTCTAGAAATTTTCGAATTCAGCTGTTGGAAGAGAGAATTCAGATCGAAAGTTAGCCGATAGGAGCAAATTTTCAGAGAACTCCCGCCGCGAAGTTAAATTACCTCCCCTGTTAGTAGTAAGTTTCTAAAGTCATTTCTAACCTCGATTGAATCTCAAAAGTTATAGTTATCTGAGCTGTCAAGGGCAGAGCTGAAAGCCGCAGAAAAACTTTTATGGAAAAAGTCAGTAAATGACCAGATTGAAAAAAGCTCTCTCTGCAAAAAAGGTACGACTCGAAAAAACATGAAAGTTAGGGATCGGGAAAGTATACAACAGTTTTGGAAAAGTCTCGATTTGGATTCCGGTTCAGAAAGAATATCTGCCATAAAAACGCCAGAAACCAATATGATAAACCGGAGAAAGTAGCTAAATTTTGTACCACCCAAAATTGCCCCAATTCAAGTTTGTTTTTTTCCTTCTACCAGGCCAAATTTCTGAATAAAATGACTGCCACTTTATCATCAATCTCGCTTCAAAAAAATAATAACTGAACTAATTTTTTGACTTTCAGAAAACCGAATTGTATGTTAGCAGGAAGCAAAAAAACGAAATTCTACTAAACTAAAAAAAATTGTTAATGCTTGTAATGCAATTAGAACCAAAAAAAGAACATACTAACAACGGTTTTTCGTTTTTTTCCGGTTCGATTTACAAGTTTTTTTACCTTGAAAACACGAGGAGGGAAACGAACTTAGAAAAGAGTAATGGGAAGGTAAGAAACAGGTTTTTTTCGCAGTTGAATCGGGTACATGAGGAAAAAAACGCTACTCATAAAATGAAATCACTGTTCCAGGAGTTTTTTTAAACTGTAGATTCTGAAATTTTTTTGATTTTTGATTTTTTTAATTCTCTCTTTCAAGTTAATACCTAAAAAAATTCTGATAAACACAGCAAAAATAAACTACTATTAAGGCATTCTACATAACAACAACCAAATCTAATTCGAAAAATATCGGAAAAAAACGGTTGAAAATAGAAACTAGAATTCGTGCAATCTCAGTGCGGAATCTATGTTTCGAGGTGAGGCGAAACATTCCACAAAACCCACTTTTTTGATGGAAATCTCTGACGTAAGAAGATCGGGTTATTTTGCAAAAAAAATTTTTTAGTTGTCAGTTTTGTGAAAAAACGGTTGCGAGAACGTTAGCGAAAGGAAAAGATTGCAAAAAAAAGCAAGTAAATGAAAAAAAAGGGAAAAGAAAATTTGCACGGGTTTTTTTTTTTGGGTTAGGACGCTTGCGATATACCATGTCCAATTATCAGTTTAAAATGTGAAATAAAACGAAAAATTCGAAATTTGGATCTGAAATTTAATTTTTTCTCGGCAGAAATTTGTAATTAAAACTTTCAGGTTTGAAAAGCCGATCCAGATAAAGGCGTTTTTGGCTGAGGTCAATCCAAACGGTAAATATTTGCGTAAAAAAACGGGTGTTTGATTAGTTAGGGTCACTTAGGATGAACTTACGCAGGGAAGTACAAAAAGACATAGCTTGAGAATTCGATGAAACTTTGCTGAGTTTCCAGGTCCCCTGATTTAGAACGAGAAAGAAATAACGGTTTTTGCCTCAATAGAACGAGAAAAAATAACGTTTTTTTGCCTCAAACTTTGCACCCAAGAGCTAATTTAACTCGCGAAATCGCCGTAACTTGCAACTGGTAGTGTGGTGTAGTGGTTAGCGTCACTGCTTTGAGGAAACTGAGATCCGAGTTCAATTTTTTGTTGGGTCAAATTTTTCATAAATTTTTATTCGCGGGATTGTGAAGAAACAGAAAAAAGAGAGAGCTGCAAAAATCTTTTTTGTCGTTTTTTAGTAGTTCCGGCAAACAAAATTGCTTTAGCCAACTATTTTTTCGGAGAATTTGAAAAGTAAATGAATCAAATTAAAAGATCAAAAAATGATAGTTTATTTTTAGGAAGAACATCTAAAACAGAAAGAAAAAAAGACAGAAGAATCTTGAAGTGTCCGAGGAGGAACACTCGAGTGGACATGTCCTCGGGAGTGCATGCATTTTTAAACGATTTCTCTTGCAAAATGTCTCAGTATTTTAGGATTCGAGCGGAATAGTTTTGTGGAGCAACCGTGTATGCATGTTTTAGCAAACTGCTCTTTTCTAGGCGGTCACAGCGTTTCCTTTACTATAAACTCTAAAAACTGACAATCGTCAAAAATCAGCAAAGCGTGGTGAAAAGAAAGATGAAAAACGTGAAATGAAACGAGGTCAGCTGGAAAAAAGAATAAGAGAAAAAATAGTTATATTTGTCAACGTGTGAAGTGCGCCTACACAAAACATACGAGCGCCGGCCCAAAATTCTTCAAATGACCTATTAAAGTGGACGACCAAAAAAAAGAGTCCATTTCTCTCTTTAAAGCACAGAAAATTAAGACTTCAACGACTCTTGAAATTCAATTTTGATATAATTTTTAAACTGAGCCTCGGATTTCAATTTGAGAAAAATAAAAAACTCTAATCTTCTGAAAAAGGCTTATATTTTTAAAGAAATTTTTTTAACGGCTAAATTTTTGTGGTATTACCTCCCTAGTCAACGACAAAGGTGTTTTTTTTTTGGCTACAGTGTTCGGTGAAATTTCTTTCGAATCAAAAGAGCACATATGCAAACACTTTTCTCAATGCTAACACACACTTTGAAAGACTTGTAAAGTAGTGTTCCGAAGAATTTCAAGTTTAGGAGCGAAAAAATCTGAGGGTCAAGTAAGCGTGTGCAAATAACTGGTAGAAGGTCATTTTATTTTCGGAAATTTGGGTAAGAAAAACCACCATAACCTACAGATTGCTTTGAAATAAAAATCGAAAAAAAAAAGAAAATTTGTTTTTTCAAAAGACTGGCGAAAAATTATTTTGAATACCCTTCTCAAGGTCTATCACCAAACTTTCAAACTAAGGATCCTCATAATTCCGTGGCTTTTCAAACTACGATCCTCGTAGTTCGCTGGCTAGTTAAATCCCGAAGCCAAAGGCAAAGAAACTGGAAATGACACGTGCAACTGTATGAACGTGTGTGTTTGTTTGTGTTTGTGTTCAGTAGGAGGCAAAAGGCGGAAATTGCGGTCTTCCTAAGACGGGCGGTCCCGTCCATCTTAACAGACTTGTTTGCCAGTGTCAAACGGATTTTTGACGCCTTCAACGGACTTCGGACGGCTGAGTCTCCAACTACTGAAAACACTCGCGCAGAGGTGGATGTGGAAAGAATGAACTAAAAACTTGGTTTCAGGGCCTAATAAATTCATAGTAATTATTATTTAAAAAAATAATTTGGAAAAATGGTCTGATAACAGCCGCCAAATGGTGAGAAAAAAACATAGAAAAGTAAACACGAAACGAAAAAGCTGAGAAAATTTTTCATTTATTTTCTTCCCGACTAAAACCAAAAAAAAATGAGAACTATCAGAGGTCTCGAAACAACTATGAAAAAAGAAAGACCATATCCGAACTTCCTTCGAAATGGGTTCTTGAGGGGATCAGAAAAATTCTATATAAAAGAGAATCTTTGAAGTTTAGTTGACTAAAAATTTAAAAAAACGATATTTCGAGAATCTAAGGGCTCTTGAAGGTACCAGATGGTTCTGTATGGAAGACCCTCTGAAAATGATTTTATGAACTGAAACCGAAAAATCGTTGTTTCGAGAATCCCTGGGTT